CAAGGACAGTTGCTTATTGGGTTGAAATTCCTGGTGATTCTCTGTTGTGCGACTGCACTGTAGTTGCTCCATTGCGGTATTGATGCTGGGCATGACTTGCCTGTTTCTGCCTGACACTGGCCAGCTGGGGGTGTCCCACCGATTTAACACTGGTGTAACAGCAGTTGTTCAACTGAAACAACTTTCTGCTTAACTGTCCACTTTTTGTGGTATGCGACCAACCTTTTCTGTGTAAAGGGGATGGGCCAAAATGACCAAAGGATGCGTTTGGCTGGGACTGGTCTCTTATGAAGGAGGCACGGTCTGCTCTGGGAAGTTGGTTTCTTAAATAAACAGCATTTGTTCTTGGCATTTTGCCCAGGCATGCCAGATTCCTAGAACAATGGAATGATTACCTGGAGTATCAGTGACACCAGATCCAAGTCACATAGGCAGGGATTAAGAAATCCTTCACCGGGGCTCTGAGCCCCAGCCTCCCAGGTAAGAGTGGAAGCCACTAAAATTCAAACAAACCAATGAGCATCCACAGTTGGAATTTCAAACCAATGAACCTCTCTCTACTACCTGGGCAGCAAAGGTATAAAAGGAGATTGCACCAATGTTCTTGCTCAAGTGCCCTTTTGCTTGTGACCGAACTATTCTCAAGAATAAAAATGCATGTTTTTCCTTGTCATCCTGGTCGTGCTCAGTTGGGCTAGCGTGCCTTTTGTCTTTCAGCATCTTGCTGGTGGTTTGTTGCCTCTCGCAGTTAGGGAAACAAACCTTTAGTCCAGTCACGGTTAAAGTTCCTGACATCTCAAGATGATTGGTAGGATTTGTTTGGTAGGATCCCAGATTGCATTCCTGAACTATATTCCTGTTCAGTATTTGACAATAATTGAATGTACCCACCCAACCTCAAGTCCTAAGTGTGATGCATCCTAGATCTCAACCTCCATTTCCTAGCATGTGGTAAGGACACAAGAGACAAGAATTCGGATTCTCTCTTATCTTCTTGTGAAGCCATGTGAGCTTCCTCTGTTGTCTTCTACATTTTCCTTGTTGGAATTGTTTGTAGCTGTGCCTTTAGAATTTCCTTCTTTAAGATTTTCCACCCATCTTGGACTCTTTTTCCCTTTCGGGTGACTTGCCACAGGACTTGTTGTTCTAGGTTTGTTAAAGCTGGCTTTCTTGAAATCCAGGGTAAATGTCTACATTTGGCATTTGCTTCCCTTAGAATCAAGAATTCTAAAGGAATACAGAATTCCTTTCCCCCAGAGTTCCCACGGCTGCTACTTTGTCCTGCAAGTCCCAGAATTTCCCAGTCTGCTCATCTGGCTGGGGAACAGTGATATTCCTAGCACTTTTCTCTGCCTAAAAGTTCATAGGATTATTCCCTTAGTGAGGCAAATCAAGGAAGTTTTTCAGAACATGCCAGAAAGATTCAATCTTAATTAATTTATTATTAAAAGCTTTTCTATCCCATCCCCTACAGAACATCTCAGGATGGCTTACAATAAATAAGTAGAATAAAACAACCCCACAGCATCTGACCATTAATATACTACAACCCCATTTAAAATCAATCAAACATTAAAATAACAGGAAAATAAAAAGGGGTTTGCCTGACACCAAAAAGAATATAAGAATTCCCATTATCAATTAATAGAGGAGAAAAGGAACACAATTCTGTAAGTGCTGCTTGCAAGCTAACAGCATGTTATAACTTATGTATATACTGACAGAAGAATATAGTGATTTAAAACCATGAAATGCTGCCACAATATATTCTATCGTCCTGCTGCAGCACAAACATTGCAGAGGAGATAGATGGCAGACTCAGTATATTATTTAATTTTTTCCTTTTTATACTACACCATAGCCAAAGCTCCCAGGGCAATTTACAACAGGACATAAGAACAATATAATAACATATAATAAATTATTATTACATTTATTATACACATACACACAAATATCACACGTCATAAAATATCACATAAGATATGATCACAAAATATCACATAAGATCATAATTACAAATAAAACTATACACTCCTACCAATCACCAAGCATCCTAATCCAATTTTTCCAACATACAATATTCTCAAAAACATAGACCAACATTTCAAAAGCCCTGAATTCATTAATGTTCAAATCAAGTTGCTGTTTCGTATAAATAATACATGGCATCCAGAGTTGTTCAAAGTTATGGTCTTTCCATCTACCCTCCCACAGATGAACAAATTCCATTAACGTCACCACTGAAGTGACGTACCATATCTTACCGGTGCATTCTTCTGTAGAAGAAGCAGTAGATAGTCCCCATTTAGCAGGAATAATTTAGCGGAAGTAAAAGATTTCCCAACAATTCCATAGTCTCACTTTTAACAACATTTTTAACATTTCCAAGTAAAACACCTAGGATTCAAGAGAACGGGAAATCCCATCATGCAATTCATATGAGACATAACTTTTTCCCATTAAACTCTAATCTTTTTACAAATCCACCATAAATGGAAAAGTCTGTGTTATTTTCCCTACATTTCCAACATGACTGCCACCACTGAGACACATCCTTGCCAGCTTTTGTGGTTTCATACATCAGCAAAATAGTATTTTATAAATGCTTCCTTTAGATTAACTCAGGAAAAGATTTTAGGACAGTTGAGGAAGATGTAGTTCCATCTACTGGTCTAAAGAGATTTCTGTCTTTAACAGCTTTGCCCATTTTAAAATAATTTTATTTATCATTTACTGCAATTAATGTGATAAATATTCACTAACAATTTCTTAGATTTATATCCTTGGGATTTCCTATATAGTTAGTTCTTTACCCATTCTCCTATCTCCCCTACCTTTAAACAAGAAGCGCTGTAATTGACAATGTTGAAACCATAAAGCAATTCTTCCTCCCATTTTACATACTAGTTCAGACAAGGGTATTAAATTGCCATCTTTAATCACATCTGCAAATGTTGTAATTTTGTCTAGACCAGTAGACTTCAAACCTGAGAATCATTCTAAATGTGAAAAAGCAGTGCAGAACCCATTAATAAATACATATCTTTTATGTGAAGAAATTATTACAATTAATGTTGCAATAATACATTTCATAGAATGTAAACAAAAACTATTTATAAATTCATAAATAACTTAGTAACACAATATATGCTAGATTTAAATATAACATTGCTAACAAATAATATGAAAATATATACTTCATTTTAAGGACTTGGACATGCTTGTTTTTTGCCATGAAGAAAATAAAAATTTACTGTTACTGATGTTTGTTGCAGATGTATTTATAGGCCACGGATGTCTTCCATTTTGTGGGCAAAGCCTCCATCTTGTCTGACTCAGCTTAAAAAGCCTGGATCTGCAGAACAGAACAGAACAGAACAAGGGGCACCTTGGAACATAAACACCCCCTAACAAGGTGTTTACTACCAGAGCCTGCATTCCAGGACCAAACTAGCTAGCTTGCCCACGCGAATCTGCCAACCCTCCCTGTACCCCTGCTTATAAGCAGCTGCCCAGCTACTTGCTAGGGTGAGAAACATTCAGGTATTGCCCGTCTCAGAATGCCCTGTCAACCCTCGATGGCCTTCTGCATAGCAAAAGGGCTGCCCACGACCTCCACTGAGCCAGTCCAGACGTGCTGGTCTGTGGCAGGGGGACACCCACATGGAGCGTCCCCAGGGTCCTGTCCAAGGTGGACAGGGCCTCCCTTCCCAGCTCTGTCAAAGCTGTGAGCCCTGCAAAAGGAAGCCGTTCCTACTGAAAGGTCTGCATGGAGCCCTTCTTCGCCCTCAAGCTCACCGCTCACCAAGCATAAAGGAGGCCACATGCTCCCTCGGGAGGGAAGCAGCCCTTGGGGGCCTCCTGGCCTCTGCCAAACAGCCAACCATGGGCAGCGTGATTAGGGCCAGATGGGGAATGGAGCTGGAACGTCCTCACAGCCCCGAACCGAAAAGGCAGCCTTCGCTCCGAGGCATTCTGGCTCAGGCTTAAGACTGGGCGGCAGAACAGCAGCCCACGATGCAGAAGCTGGCCGGCTGCACGTAGTGCGGCCCGTGCAAGGCAGGGCTCCGCCGCAGCTGCTCTGGGGCGGCTTCCCCCTGGCTGGCTGGGAGGCAGAGATGAGCCACGTGGCCTCAGAAACACTCCGCGCAGCGCTGTCTCGGGGAGACCCAGGCCAAGCGCATTCACGCGTCCGCATTCCCGCTCACTCTGTAGGGGTGCGAATGCTGGACAGTGAGGAAAGTTGACAGGAGGACAACTGAGGCATGCGAAGCAGGTGCTGCAGGAGCGCTTTGCAAATGCCCTGGGCCAACAGACAGGCCAACAGGTGGGTCTCGGCCAGAACTTTTCCGAGAAGCGAGGGCAAAACACGCTGCAGAATCACCCTCGAGAAAGGCGAGGCAGAAGCAAAACGGGCCCAGCAAGGGGCGGATCAACTCCACAAGGAAAGCCACAAAAGGATCTGGAAGGCCGGCCGGGCGCGTCCCCAAAGCCCGAAGGCACCCCCACTTCACCCGGCGGCCTCGTCCCGCAGCCACTTCCCGGCGGGAGTGGCCCAGGGAGACGCCCCCGCTCGCTGCTGCGCTGCCCTGCGCGTCGAACAGGGAGCGCGGGCCGCCGCCTGCCCCCTCCCTCGCCCGGACCCAGCGAAGCTCCTCTCCCGAGCCGCTGCCGGGAGCGGCGGCCTCTCTGCGCGGCGGCCCGCGGAGAGCCGAGGAAATCCCCAGCCTCCGCCCGCCTGGAGACACGAGCCGCGCGCACAGCCGGCGCGGTCCCGCGGCAGCCGGCCCCGGCGCGCCCACGCACACGGCAGTGCGGCGGCGCGAGCTCGTCCGCAGGGCCGCCGGGTCTCCCCGGCAGGGTGCAGGTGCGGCCCCGCAACCCGCTGCTCAGTTTGCGTCCGTGCGCTCTGGGCCGGGCCTCGCCGCGTGCGGCTCTCCGCCCTGCTTGGCCACGTCCGTGGAGGCGGAGGAGGCCGGCGGCGGCGGCGCCTGGCCTGGCCGAGCGTGCGCGCGCCGCTGCCTGGGCCCAGACGCCTTGCTCTCACCCGGCGGGGGCCCGTGGCCGGATCCAGCGTGGCGTTTCGGGTGCCTGCGGGAAGCGCGTTTGCCGCCAAGGAGGGAGCGAAGGGGGCCGGCCCTGCATGAGCGGCCGGCAGCCGCAGAGGCCCCCCAGCCCGGCCGTGGCGCCTGAGGGATGGTCCGCGGCTTCGCTCCACAGCCTGCTTCCCAGAACGAGAGAGGAGTTTTCGCGGGGCTTCCGCAGGGCGGGAGCGGAACGGGGCCTGGCCTCGTTGCTCCGGCAGGCGGCCGAGCTGCTCTACCGGCAGCCGGAAGGCCTCGCGCGCGGGCCGGGAAGGGACGCCTGCCTGCAGCTGGGCGAGAGAATCTGCGACTATGCCTGGGAAAAGCTGAACACGGGGCCGTGGAGGGAAGTGGACAAGGGCTGGCGCCAGGCCTATGCCTATGGCTGCCTCGTCCGGGTGCTCTGCCTCTGTCAGGGCAGTGGCGGGCCTTCCGTGGAAGCCGTGCGCATCTGTGACATGGGGCTGCTGCTCGGCGCATCCATCCTGGACAACATCCTGGGTAGGATGGTCGATTTACTTCAGAAGCACCTACCTTGCCACAAAAGGCCTGCTGTAGGAGATGCCGAGAAACCCCTTAAAAAGGTATTTTACAGTGTTTTGATGAGGCCAGTGTTTGTCACTCACTTTCTGCTCTTTGGATTCACCTTATTTTGTTTTGTATACCAAGCCAAGGCTCTCTGATCATTTAACAAAAGTTGCTTAACATCCATTTTCTGGGTTCTGTACACACCCAGGCATCATAGGGAATTAAATCTCATGTTTTCCACTGTGTTGTATATAGTCAGGGGAGACTAATCCACACTGAAAGCATATATGGTAAAGTAAGAATTAAGCTAATTATGTTGAAATGTTCCTTGTTGCAGAAAATCTCAAAGCAATTCTCACTGGCTCCTGCTGTAAAAGCAGAAGCTGTTATACCACGGCTTCTGTGCCCATCGCTAGAACATTTCCGAGACAATTATCTAATCCCTCAAAAGCCACTGATCTTGGAGGGAATTATCGACCACTGGCCATGCATGAAGAAGTGGAGGTAAGCACAAGATCACATGCTAAATGGTGTTTGCCCTGGAACAGCTTTTCACTGGCCCTTCCATGTTGGGTACAGTGCCCTTTTTCTGCAGACGCTGGGCTTGTAGCAAACGGGTCTTCTGCCCTCTTGCTGCAGTGTGGACTACATCCAGCAGGTGGCTGGCAACCGCACCGTCCCTGTGGAGCTGGGGTCTCGTTACACTGACACAGAATGGACTCAAAGCCTCATGACTGTGGACAGCTTCATCAGGCAATACATCAAGAATGAGGTCCGGCAACAGCAGACTGGCTGGGAATTTGGGGGAGGGGCAAATAATATTTTCATTGCTCTTATTGTCATCTAGAAGCAACCCCAGGGGTGGGGAGGGGCTCTTTTAATCTGTAAATAAAATAGGCTGGGGATTTCTTGGCCTAAGAATGTGCCAGTTTTCAGGTTGCACAGAATGCTTATTGAGGATAAATGGAAAGGCATGGAGCCATAGCTACCTTTGGCAGAGTTCTCTAGGGCAGGGCCAGAGTGGAGGGACTTTGGAGCCCGCTGCATGAGGGGGGCTATAGGATGACTCTTAGTATTTGCTCAGATGACTTTTACCCACAACCGCCTATTAATATCTTTTCTCACTTCTTTTAAGTTTCAGAACCAGACAGGATACCTTGCTCAGCACCAACTTTTTGACCAGGTAAACCTGGGAATGACCCTTTTTAGTACCTTGATCCTCCTCAACATTCTGTGTTCACTAAAATGTTTTGGGATTCCCACCATACTCCACCCCGCCATCATTATTTATTTAGGCTTTTATATCCTGTTCTTTAGCACAGGGCTCTCTGAATGGTTATGCAATACACCCTAGTAAAGCAGTATATGATATCCAGCTTTTCCCAACTTGATGTGCTCAAGATGTTTTGGACTGCATCACTACCTTCCTTGTCCAATGGGCATGGTGGGTGGAGCTTATGGGAGTTGTAGATCAAAATATTTGAAGTACATGAGGTTGAGCAGGCTGCTTTTGGCAGTTATGGCAGAGGAAGTAGGGGAGATGAGCCCCCTACCCCGTTTGCTCTTCTGTGAAGCAACTACAGTGGTACCTCGGCTCATGAATGCCTCCATTCACAACCAAATCGGGTCGCGAACAAAAATTTCATAAACATTTTGACTGAGGTTGCAAACCCTGCATTGGGTGGTGACCGTGATCATGGCTCCCCTCCCCAAGTGGGGAGATGGCCGCAAACATGCTGGGGGTGGGGGGGGGAGATGGCTGAGATCGCGCCCATCTCTCTCGTACAGGAGCACAAGCGATCTCGCTTCCATCTTCCCCCCCCCCCGGTCCCCCCCCCCCCCCCCCCCCCCCCCCTTTTTTACCAACCAACCCCGCACCAACCACGCCCCAATAAATCCGGCCTCTCTCCCCCCCCCCCCCCAGTGTGCCAGGATGATGGGCATGTGCAGGGATGACGGGCGCAGTCACGGTCGTGCTGGGGAGATGGCTGTGCTTGGGGCGGGGGGAGATGGCCACTGTCTTTGTTGTTCCTTGTCACTTTGCTTCACATTTTTCTGATTTAAAAAATGAGTTACAGAATGGATTAACCTTATTTACATTGAACCTTATGGGGAAATTTAACTTGGCTCGCAACCAATTTGGATCACGACCAGAGTCTTGGAATGGATTAAGTTTGTGAGCCAAGGTACCACTGTACTGAGTTTGTTGTTGTAATATGTTTGTTAACTTATATCATGTTTTATTGCATATCTTAGTGTTATATTTTGTAACCCACTCGGGGACATTTTGACTAATAGGTGGGATAGAAATCCAATAAATAAATTCCTAACTAAGTGGCAGAAATGAGAGCCAGTGTGGTGTAGTGGTTAAGAACACGGGACTGGGACTCAGACGATCTGGGTTCTAGTCCCCGCTTGGCCATGAAGCCAACTGGGTGACTTTGGGCCAGTCACAGACTCTCAGCCCAACCTACCTCATGGGGTTGTTGTTGTGGGGATAAGATGGAGAAGGAGAATGATGTAAGCTGCCTTGAGCCCTTTGTAGGAAAAAGGCAGGATATAAATCAGGAAAAAAAATGGGGAAACTGCAGAAAAACATTGTAATTGAGTTCACATGTAATGGCGAGCAATGCTGAAATACAGAAACCTTGAAACAGACCCTTGATTCTCCATGGCTGTTCATGGTAACAAGCACGCCATGCTTCACCATGCTGGCTAAATTCACACATAATTACAGGACACTCTGCTGCAGCTTGTTATGTGTGAGCACAGCCAGTGTCAGCGGACATAGGGACCAAAGTATTCGTGCTTCCAAAAGGCTTTTGTGACAGTCCATCACAACACCCTCCTGGCTTATATTTCTGACCAACCTGTCTGCAGATCCCAGAACTGAAGCAGGATATTGGCATCCCTGACTATTGCTGCCTTGGCAAAGGAGATGAAGAGGACATCACCATTAATGCCTGGCTTGGCCCAGCAGGGACCATCTCACCCCTTCATCAGGACCCACAGCAGAACTTCCTAGCCCAGGTTTGCCCAAGAGCCAACTGGGGCTAGTCACAATGGTGGCTCTGTGCCAGTCGGGGCAGCAGTGGCAGCTTCTGCCAGTAGCAACAGAGGAAGTAAATCAGAGGAGAGATCTCCACATCTGGTGATACAGTTTGAACTGTTGCTATAAGAGCAGCAGTTCAAACTTGCTCTGAGCCAATGATGGAGGCTGGGGAAAGGAGTGGAAATAGTGCATGGAATCATGAATTGGAAAGTCCCTTCCCCACTCAAGAAAAATCCCCTGTGATGGCATGGATTCCTGTCATTGGCTTACCAGCTTGTGGGGAGGGAGGGGTACATGCCTGTGCTTATATTGGAGAACTGCAAGACTCTTGTCTGCAAAAGGGGCAAGAAGTTAATCCATCCAGTTCCATTTCTGTGCTCGCCGACAGAGGCAATGTGCTTCCCAGCACGCTTGGGCATCGAGGGAGGGAACGCTCACCTCATGCTTATTTATCCCTGTTGAGAGTTGTGAATAAGCAAGGAGAGCTGTATCTTCCCTGTCTCCAGGTCATGGGACGGAAGTACATCCACCTGTATTCTCCTGACCAGCGCGAAATGCTCTATCCACACGAAGGCCACATCCTTCACAACACTAGTCAGGTGTGTGATTCATACAGCTTCTTTCCAAGTGGCTGCTCAATTGTTCCAGGACGGCTTTGAAAGTAAAACAGATTTGCCTGTGAAAGGCACAATGGACTAATCACTGTGCCTGCCCCTGCGATCAAACCTGTCTGTTTGTTCGATGTGTCCTGATGCTTTCTATTAGACCTGGGTGCTGTTCCTTTCCTCCCAGGTTTTCATTTCCCTTCCACTACTCGCAGCAGGAATGGTCCTAGATTTCCCATGTTGGAAGGATGGCACAAGGCTAGAAGGGCCTGGAATACTGTGTAGTCCATCACATTTCATCCACACCTTGTCCATGCTGCATTTCAGAAAGGTCTGTTGAGGCAGGAAGGAGGGATTCAAATTTAGATGCTCCCAAAGTTGAAGCTCAGTCTTCAGCCTCAGGGAGCAATGGCCAGGGACCAGAGGACTGCAGCCTGTTTGTGCATGACTGCAACAACAGCACATTCTTTTTCAAGTTACCCATTTCCCTATTTTCTTTACCTTTTCTGTTACCTTCTATATGCTAAGCTTGTTCAGACTTGTACTCTTGATCCTTGCAAAGCACCAAGTAAATAGATAAATGTTAACATAGTTCTCTGTTTCCTTTCTAGGTGGATGTAGAAAAACCTGACTTAGTGAAATTCCCCAAGTTTGAAGCGGCTACATCCCAAGCCTGTATCTTAAGCCCAGGTCAGGTTCTGTTCATCCCAGTTAGCTACTGGCACTATGTGCGGGCCTTGGATACCAGCTTCTCTGTTAGCTTCTGGTGGTCATAGTTTTTATTGGTTGGGATCCCAAATAAGACAAAAACCAGCCTTTGGGTCCTGTTAAGGACTTTCAATATTGTGATTAAGATGCACTTTGAAAGGAAGAGAGTACGGGTCTATTTGGGCATTATTAAATGAATCTTTTAAAACTTGTGTAAGGCATTGCAAGCAGTAAAATCTCAGTCTGTTCTAATCTAGAATAATAGAATGTAATGGAAGAGGCCACCAAGGCCATCCCGTGGAGTGCTGTTCTCGGTGCAGGAACCCGACTTGAAGCATCCGAACAGGGGCTGTCTGGTCTCTGCTTGAAGGCCTTCAGCAGTGGAGAGCCTGCCACCTCCCTAGGCAGACGCATAATACGACAGCCCATGTGTGTTCATTTACTGGTGAGGGCTGCTATATTGCCCTGGGAACCAGCAGGCGCTTTGCATGGCACCTACGGGTGTCCAGTTGGCCATGAACTGCCATGTAGTGAAAACTCGGGTGCTGGGGATTCCTCGAGTGTTAAATAGCTCTTGCTGTCTGGTTTCATATAACACAGGAATTTGGGCACCCAATTCAAAGTGACAACCAGAGGGTTAATTAGCCCAGGGTGGGCTACTTGTGCCTACTGACAATTAGGAAGTTTTACTTGACATTAAACTAAAATCAGCCACCTTGTACCTTAAACAAATTATTTTATGTCCCATGTTCTTGGATGCTACAGGACAAGCATTGCTGCCCTCATGAGTGGAAAGTGCTTGAAAACTGCTGTCATAGCTTCTGTTTGCTCAAGGCTAAACATGTCTAGTTCCTTCAACATTTCCTCACAGAACTTATGTCCAGAACTGGATCACATACTGAAAATGAGGTCCAACCAGTTCAGAGTAGACGAACTGTTAAATACCTTTATTTAGAAAGTGTACTTCTATTGATGCAAGCTAGATTCTATTTGCCTTTTTTGCAGCCATATCACACAGATGACACAGTTTACAATCCACCACAATTCCATTTTTTTTTCACATGTTAAACCAGGTATCCCCCAACTATACCTGCGGGGTGGTGGGGTTTGTTTGTTTGGCCTGTCTTGTTACAGCAGTTTTCTAACCTATATATTTTTTTTGTTTCTGCCTTCTAAGGTTTTGCCTTTTCCTTGCAGTTCTGTGTCATTACAAATTTAATAAGCATTCTCTCCCTGTTCCTCCAAGTCATTAATAAAACATTTAAGAACACACAGCCCAGGATGGAGACTTGCAGCACCTCACTCAACACCATCCTGCAGTTCGATGGTGCAGGCTGCTGCTGCTGTGAGCATTCTTTGACTTGTTCTCCAGACAAGATACTCTCCAGTCTGTGCTGAATAAGCTTGCTGAGCAGTCCTTTGTCAGACATCCTTCTGAAATCAAGATAGATTCATGGCATTTCCATAACCTACTAAGGAAACACCTGAAAGAGGAAAAGATTAGTCTGGCAGAACGTATTCTTAACAAATCTATGCTGGCTTCCAGCAGTGACTGTAGTAGTCTCATAGGGCCTATAGATCAAATCCTTCATAATCTGCTCTAGAATCTTTCAAGGTATTGAAGTCAAATTGTGTGGTCACCATTCTCAATGATTCCTCAAAGACAGGGGTCCTCTAACTTTTTAAATGGGGCCAGTTCACTGTCCCTCAGACTGTTTGGAAGGGCAGACTATAGTTTGAAAAAAATAGCTAAAGAAACCCCCAAAGGAACAGCTAAAGTGACCCCCCCATCTCATTTCTCAACAAGGAAGTGTAAAGAGAAAAATTTCGCTACAGCCTCCTGCTGCTGCTGTGGCCAATTTAAAGAGCAATCAGAGTGAGTTTTACTCCTCAAAAACAAGGAAACAGAAAGCCCCAAATAGACAATGCTGTGGAGTGGACAGTGGAGAATCATCTAACCCCGCCAAGGGACTTGAATTTGTTAAAAGAAACCCCCAGAGAAACAGCAAAAGTGACCTCCTCCCAGCCTCATTTCTCAACAAGGAAGTGTGGAGAGGAAAATTTCACAAGAGCCTCAGGCTGGCCAGCAGACACAGGGAAAAAAGCAGACCGGTTTAAATGAACAAGTTGACTTCATGCAAACGGGAATGCTTAGAGGGACTTAAAAATGGATATAAAAAGTTATATTTTTCTTACCTTCAATCCTTTTTTAGTGTCTTTGTCTCTCCCTCTCTTCTGCACTCCTTGGAAGAGAGACACTCCATATTTCCTGCTCTGTATATGCGTGCAATGGGGGGGATCCGGCACATGCACAGTTGAGCTTTTACAATTAGGCATGTTTCAAATTATAATTACTCAGTTTCACCTGTGCCGGCTCAGAGCTTTCCGACTTGCTTGGAGATTGCCTTCTCCAAGCGAGTCCAGAACCTCTGAGGCAGGCCGGACAAATGAGCATGGCAGGCCAGATCCAGCCCACAGGCCGTAGTTTGAGGACCCATGCTCAAAGAGAACAGAAGCTCTCACAATCCATCCACTAGCTCCTTCAGTGCCCTAGGATACAGTTCATCTAAACCAGCGGTCCTCAAACTTTTTCAATAGGGGGCCAGTTGAAAGGCTGCGGTGACCGTTGCAGGCCTGTGAGGTGGGGGTGCCGTCAGGCACGCGTGAGGAGGGGTTAGGCACGCACGGTGGCGGCTCGCTCTCTTGGAGATCACCCAGCGAGTCCAAAACCGTCTCTGTGCTAGCAAGCCAACACCTCCCCACCCGCAGGCAGCGAGCAGCGGCATGGGCCGGATGGATGACCATGGCGGGCAAGATCCGTCCCGTGGGCCATGGTTTGAGGACCCATGATCTAAACATTAGGAAGTGGGTATGTTTAAGGCACTTAGATACTCCCTGGCCATTGTATTTGTCTTCAGATGGGACCTGAATCCTCTTGGGAGAAAACCGACCCAAGAACAGTAGAGTGGTCTTGCCTTTTGATGAGTGTCACTGTTTGGCCATCTTCATGGAGCACTTCGTCTACCAACACTTTTCTACCATTCTTAGTATCCCTCGTCAAAGATCATTCTCGCTACACTGAGTATTTTATCCCTCCTGGCACCAGTTTTGCAATTCTGGCCTATCTACCTATAAGTGTCCCTGGTCACCTGTCCCCATGTATCCTTGATGATTTTCAGATCATCACTAAGCATTTTGTGCACCCCCTTTGGCGTCTTCTGCTGTCTTCCATTTTTTCCTCTTACTGATTGCACCTTTCCAGTATCTACCTTTTTAAGGAACTTCCATCCCTCTTCCTTGTAGGCTTCCGTTTCACAGACTCTTCTTTAACATTGCTCATATAAAATCAGCTTTACCAAGGCTACAACCCACACTGGACTATATTCCATTCTACTTTTCCTCCCTTAACGTCAGAACTCCTTGAGCACCACACGCTCACTTTCCTGCTCATGAACTAACTGTTCCCTATGGGTCAGAATGAAATCAAAGATGGATGAGCCCTCAGCATTGCTGCACAAACAAAATGTTTTCTCAAGGAAGGAACAAAAGTGTGCCATCCCTGAGGCCCTCACACAGCTGGAGTAGAGAAACTCCTGGGCACCTGGTGAGGATTGTGGGCTTCCCACCAAACCCGGTAGCTTCTGCTTCCTTCTGACCCTTGCCCTGCCTTTTGAAAGCACTTCCAATCACACACGCAGCTCTGCTTCCTGCTAATATATTGGTTTATCAGGGAAGCATTTCCATTTGCTTTACCTTCCACTGGAATGAGGCATCTTAGAATTTATCCAGACCAAAATTGAGCACTCAGGACAAAAAAGTTTGGCCGTCCTCTGCCATCCTAATGTTTGCAACTTTGCAAACTTCCAAGAATGCTGGTTCTGGCAAGAAGGCAAGAAAGCCTGGAGTCAGTGTTCACAGTAGCACCTTCTGGAGTTACAGTGTTTTCAGAAGCTCTACCTAGACATAAGCAGGAATTCATTTTTTGCAAAGGGGCAAGGAAGGGAGCTCAGGACGACAGGCAGACGCCTCTTAGTAAGCTAAAGGAGAGAACTGCGGTGTCTTATGTTCAGACACTAGAAAGCAGAGTTGTAATCAAGACGCTGCCAGAAACTTTTGCACATTCTAACATCATGAAGATAATAAGGTAGAATGGCTGCTGAGACATGGTGTAAAAGACATATATTTCAAACTCCAAGGTCAAGGAACGGTACTGCAATTCTTGCTGCTGGCAGGTCAACATTGCAGCTGCACTGCCGCTCCTCCAGGACGCAGTCGTCGATCTGAGTCTGCCCAGGGGCCTCTAGCGCTGCCGGGTGCTTGTGGGGGTCCTCCTGCTCTCCTTTGGCGTGTGTGATGGCAGACGAAGACCTGCAGTGCTGGTGTCTGCAGTGTTAATGGAAAAACGGAACAACACTGACCCTGTAGGTGGCGGAGGATCCTAAAGCAGCTCCCTATCTCCAAGTCCACCCCAAGGCATTGTTAAGCAACGCCTGATTGGCAGATCATCACCCTGCTCTCTCTCCTCCCAAAGCAAGCTGGCTAGTTTGTCAGTGGGGCTGCACAAGGACTTTACCCAGCATCCAGCGAGGCCAAAGCTGCTTGCAGTGAGGGCAGCGAGGTTCTGCTTGTGCTCCAAAGTATTTGGCAAGGCAGGGCAAGTGCATGGCGATCCCACAGTCCTTACACACTTGACTCTGAAATGAGAACGAGTCGATGGGTGGGGGCCTGCCCTGGCAGGACACCATCTGGAGCTGTCAAATTGCACAAGAGCTTTCGAGAGGATTAGATCCAGTGAAAAGGGTGGATCATGCCTCAGAAACAAAAGAAGGGCCAGCAAAGGGAAGGAAGGCTAGCTGCTCGAGTTCAAAGCCAAGGGAACAGGGATCTGAGGCAGGAAGAAGCGAAATGGGCCTTCAAGTTGAGGGAAAACACTCCCTGAGCCGGTGTGACTCAAGGGTAAGGAAGCACTCGCCTGCAGCTGCAGGCTGTGGCACAGACGGGTGTGCCTGATCTCCCCTCCCCCCTCCCAGCGGTGGAGAACGTGGCACAGACCTGAATACAAAGGCAGTGGCACACGTGGCACTTGTGGACAGAGCCTTGATAGTGGCAGAGGATGTACTGCTCCAGCTCCAGGATGCATCGTATGTGCAGTGTGTACTCCCCCTCTTGCTGCAAAAGAGGAACACGTGCTGTTCTGCACTCCTTCCTTCTGCCCCCCCGCGCCTGCCACTCCCTCAAAGTCCCCCAAGAGCCCAAAGCCTCACCTCACAAAGCCATTTGTTCTGCACCAGGCTTCGCAGCACCTGCTCCGCCTCCTTCTTCTTCATCTTCTTCGGCTTTAGCTGGTCAGCCAAGTTGAGGATGTCTGTAGAGGAGGCAAAGCCACTTCCAGACGATACAATAAGATCCATCTGCAGCAAAGGGAAAAAAGATGCCAGGGACTCTTCTGCGTAATGGGGAAGAAGGGCATTCTACCATTCCATTTACTATCAAGCAGGGGCAGCGACCAGATTGTGATGGACTCTGAATCCCATCAGTTCCAGCTAACACAGGCAGTGGGTGGAAAGTTGCAATCTTCACCTAAAGATCTGTGGGAACTACTTGAAGTACAGTAGTACTTCACCCTTTGTGTTTCATTTAGTCTCCCAAAAAGCCAGTTACTCTCAGTGAATAACCAGATGGTGGTCACCCTAAGTCCACACATAGGATCTGTTCCAGTCAAGTGGACCTCTCCCAGAGGCATGATCCTCAGCTGTGACCCCCCCAAACACAAAACCAGTTTCATGCTCCAGCACCCATTTCAGAGAAGGCAAATCAATGCCTTCCAAATGAGTTCATAGATTTACTCCATTTGGGGTAAACGCAAATGCTTCAGAAAGCAAACTGGTGGTAAGGGACACACAGGCAAACCATAACACAGTCAAAGCAAAACACACGTCCCCTCCCACCCCAGGGATCCAAAAAGGGATCCCAAAAATGCAGATGTTAAGGATGGGCACATATGGAGCCTCAGGAGAACTGGCGGCTAGGAAGTCGCCTGCTCCAGCTTGAGACCCTCTCTTCACAGCCTAAGTGCCACCTCTAAATAAGAAAATACTGCCCTGACAAAGGTTTCCTGAAGATGCAGCCACTCCATCCCAACCTAAGCTGGGGGATGGAGAATCCTTGGGCCAAGGGGCTACAGAGGCAGGATCTGTGGCTAATCTACTCTCCTCAGAAGACTGAATCAAGACTGTCTCTTCACCAGGCCACTTATAAGAGGTACAGGAACCCTGAACGGGTGCCGATCCTACTGCCTACAGACCAAGCACCACAGAAGGCCGTCCCCTTTGTAGGGATGGAAGTGTAGATAAGGGGCAGCAGCCTCCTCCAGCAGATGTGCTGCAGCTTAGAATGCCATCAAACACCTGGCTGCTGCTTTAAGTATTTCCTCTGGTATACTCTAGTGCCTCTAGGGGAAATAAATTCAACATGAAAAGTCCATTAACCTGCGTTCACTATTGGATTCCGTTTTGTTACTTCATTTTTCATCAGAACATCTCCATTTTAAGCCTGCAAACTCCTGGAAGAGATTATTCCAGACAAGAGAGAACAATGGGAGGGAATTTGCAAACCTGGGAAAATCACTGCTTTTCCTCCTATGAGAAAGAGCCTACAATATTAGCAAACTGAAGGCTGTTCTGAAAGCACTTGGAAGGAATAAAGCACCTGGAGTAGAAAGGATATCAAAATTATTTCAAGCTGAAGAGACTGATTTGATCCTCATCCTGACAACACTATGCCAACGAAGATGGACAAAAAACAATAGCCCACCATCTGGAAGTATTAAGAAACTAAGAAAGGTGATGCAAAATACTACAGCAACTGTAGGACCATTGCAGTCATTTCTTACGCGAGCAAAGTGATCTGCAAGGTTGCAACAAAGAATAGTTGCCTATGCGATACAAAAAATGCCTGATGTTCAAGCTGGATTCTGAACAGGAAGAGGCACTGGAGATCACATTGGAAATGAATGTTGGCTACTGGAGCACACCAACGAATTTCATGACAAAATTAATCTGTGCTGTATGGACTTTAGGGCAAAGGCTTTGACTGTTTGGCTCTTCAGAAGTTATTGATGATCCTGAAAGAGATGGGAATGCCTCAGTACTTGATTATCCTGATGTGCAACCTGTAGCACAGACTAGAGGATACTGCGGGACAGAATACGAAGACACAGAATGGTTTCCCATGGGCAAAGGTGTAAAACAAGGGTGTATTTGATCTCCTTATCTGTTCATTCTGTATGCATAACATATCATAGGGGAAGCTGGATTAGAATCAGAGGAAAGAGTACAAAATAGTACAAACTGGGCAAAGACACATCAACAAGCAATATAGAAAACAACAATATATTAAAACTGATGAATGTGAAAGAAGAAAATGCAAATGTAGGTCTTCAGCTGAACATTAAAAAAATCATGACTACAGAAGAATTATAGAACTTTATTGTCTACAATGAAGAATTGGGTCCCAGATCAAATCAAGCCAGAGCTTTTCCTAGAAGCAAAAATGACAAAGCTGAGGCAGTCATACTTTGGGCAGATACTTCCTGACAGGACCCCCAGGGTATGGAACAGGCTTCCATGGGAGTTGCAAGAATTTGAACTCAGCTTTCAGGCTAGAGCAGCAAGAAGGCTCAGAACACCCCCACAGACTGCTAGCAAGGACATGGCGACAGTTCCTTTCAGAGCAAGGATGCAGAGACTCTCCACCTGCTATTCGGACAGCAAGAGGGACGAAGGACATGTTGCCATCCATGCCCCTGCTCCAGGCCTAGTGACAGCATTCAGCTTGGTGAAAAGCCAACACAAGTGTCCCACAGGCTAGCATCGTCGCAGCCCTCCCACCTGCTCTTGGGAAGCCTGAGTTCCTCTTCCTTCCCATTTCCTTTTCCTTGTGTCTCTTTAGGCTGTGAGCCTGGACACCAAGGCCAGCTTGTTTACTTGATTGTAAGCTGCTCGGGGAGCCATTTGGCAGAGGACAGCATAAAATATTTCCAGTAAATAAAGAAGATTCAGGTTGTCCACGAAGGACCCCACTGAGCTTGCACCTTCCCCGCATCCTCCTGCAGAAGGCAGTGCCTGGATCCGCACCGTTCACTGCCCCTTGCACTGGTCAGATATTTGAACGCTGCTGTACTTACTGTCTTTTTGAACAACTCCAGCTCGCTTTCAGAGTAGTCACTGGCCATTTTGGTGAATTCTGTCTCAGCCAGGTTCACCTGGAAAAGCCGACAGACAGCAAAGAGCTTTTGCACTCATAGCCAAAAGGTGGCTCACTGGCTCCCCCAGCACAGACAGGACTAGTCCTGCCTTGAGAGAGAGGCAAGCTTCCTGAGAAAGCAGCAAAGAAATGTCTCCTTTCCCATCACACATACACAAAAAGCAAACACCTGGCACAAGTTTTGAAGAAGCCTCACCTTGCTTGCTGTTGCTTTCAAATTACAGGGTAAAGCATGCAGCAGCAGCTTGTCTCACCTTACCAAAGCATAGTATGTTCCCCCATTTTCTTCTGAAAGGCCTTTCCGGACTTCCATCAACAAAGGCTGTAGCTGAGCATTCGCAACATTAATGAAGTCATCCAACTTATCGTGTGCATAATAGACTGGAGGGGACACACAATGATAAAACTCGTCAATTCAGTGTACAGCCCCTTGAGTGAAGATACTGCTGGCTTTCAAGAGCATGCAGAGCCAAGATGTGGCCTGCAGTAAGTGGAGGTGGTGTCTGTGAGCAGGCACTGAGCCAGCATCTCCTCTTTCCCTCTCTGGCTTCAGGGAGGCAACGGAACTTCAAATCCACCTTGAATGCCATTTGTTTGGCAGAAAGACACAATATAACTTAAGTCATGCAAAAGATATTGTAGAGTTGGAGAAAGGTGTCTTGTGACATTTTAAAGATTTCATTCACAAAACTGATGATGGCATAATCTTTTGTGGACACTGTCTACTTTATGAGATGCATGAAATCTGCCTGGCACCGGCAGACTTGCGTGTTTATGTTCAGCTGGGGCGGAGTGGGGGGTGTCCCAGAAAATAAATGCAGAAAAATGATAGCATGATAATGACAATAACAGTTGCAATTAATAAACTATGGCCAGGTGAATATGGTAAGGACTGTATCTTACAGGATGTTCTAAGGCTGTGGATACAGGTGGGTAACTTTGCAAATTATCTTTCTGATGTTGTGTCCTCCACAAACCAGACATTTGAGGGTAAGTGGCTTTCTGGGGATTGACTGTTCATTGCATGTGATTGGCAGGATTTGGTGAGAGTTGTATGGATGCACTAGGAAAAGTAATAGTGGAGAGAACCAGAGATGCTTTGTGAGCACAGACAGAAGAGCTCTCCGGAGCCAGCCAACGCGCTTCTCTCCCCTCCCTCGGGATGCCGCCGGAACCCGCCCCCCTCCATGCCCCCGCTGTGCTAGCCAAGGCCCTGCCCGGCCAGCCCGAATTCGCAGGCCTCGTGCTGCCTGTCTTGACCCGCCCCCCCCCCCCGCCGCCACCCAGCCTGGCGTTTTCGGCCGGCTCCCGGAGGTCTTCCCCGCGGCGGCCGAGACCCCCGCGGGGCTCCCCCGCCCCCGCCTGCCACCCACCTCGGTGCAGCTCGCAGCACTGGCGCTGCAGCGCGCCGGCCGCCGACCCCTCCACCACGCCGAGGGCCAGCAAGGCCTGGAGAAAGTGCCGGTGCGCGTCGCTCATGGGGGCGGGTGTCATCACGCGGCTCGCCGTCGGCGCTGCAACACAGGAGCGGAGACCGGAGGCGCGGGTGAGGCGCGGCGCCTGCCTGCCGGGTTGCTGGGCAGGCGCCCGCGGGGACGGCGGGCCGGCCGGCGGCGAGCTGCGCGCTCCCGGAGCACGCCGCTGGACTCCCGACCGTGTGCATCGCGCGCAACGTGAGAATCGGCCGCGGTGACACGAAGCGGCGCGGCGTGGGAAGAGACTGAACACGGGCAGAGGGCGGCGCTCGGCGGGCCGCTCGCCAAGCTTACCGGGCAGGAGGAACGCGGCGTCGCCTCTTCCCGCGGAAACCAACGGCCGTAGCGGGGGCGCCCGGCCGGCCGCCTTGCCTGCCGGAGAAGCCGTCCTCTGTGGCTGCGGCCCGGGGAGGGGCCCTCGCGCCTACGAGCGCGGCCAAAGGCCCTGCGGGGCGGGATCTGCGCCAACTCGCTAGGGGCGGAGGGTGCGCCGGCCCAGCCTTCGGGGCTGCCGCGTCGCGCTCCGCGGCATCCCAGGGATGGGGCGGGACGGGAGAGCGCGCAGGAGCCCCGCTTGGCCCCCGGGGACGCGGGCAGCCCGAATGCGGCTTTCAGCGAGGCAGGCAGGCCCGCCGCACCCAGCGCGGGGCGGCCTGGGCAGGAAGTGCCGCGAACGCGCCTGGCTGAGGCCGCGTTGCCGTCCCGGGGCCCCGCGACGGGACTAAGGCTGTCCGCGGGCGCGGAGGTCGGGGCCTCGCTCGCGGCCACCTCCGCAGGGCGAGACGGTTGGGGGCCGGTTCCGGGCCTCCCACGGTTGGGGGCCGGCCCGGGCTGGACTTCCGTGCCAAGCCGCACCGCCCAGCAGGAAGTCGGGGCAGGACGCGGCGGCGCTCGGACAGGCGCTTTCCGCGGTGGGCCCCTGCTCGGCCCCAGAGAGGCGGCGGGGCCGGACCACGGGCGGAATGCGCGGCGGGGCGCGCTCGGCGGGGCTGCGGAGGGCGCTCCTGCTTCAGCTGCTGCTCGGCCACGGTGAGTGCCTCCGCGGGACTCGGCCGGGAAGCTGCGCGGGCGCCGTCCTCCCTCCGCGGGCTCCCGGGCCGCGGGGCGGACGCGCCCGCTCAGTGCCGAGGCCCGCGGGTCCTTCCGGGGAGCGGCGCTGCTCGCGGACAGCTCCCCGCGTCGTCATCGCTGGCTGCCGCAGGCGAGAGGCGGCGGGACCGAGCGCAGCCCCGAGGGCCGCGGCGACACCTCAGGGGTTGTGGAGGCCGGGGCAGCCCTCCCCCTCCCTCCCGGCGGTGGCGCACGCTTGGCGCCCGGCCTCTGCGCGCAGCGGACGGCCATTCCCGGGCGCAGGGACCGAACTGTCCTCCCAGCTGGGCGGGCCACGCAGCCTGTAAGGAGGAAAGTGCCGATCGCGGCCGACCCGGAGCCTGCGGACCCCCGGCGCCGCCTCTGGGCGGACTGGTGGCGGCGCGGCCCGCTTCCTGAACTGCGCTGAGCATTGGTAAAGGGCTGAAGGCCGCGCAGCAGTCCGATCCGGTCGCAGCAGTGCGTGTTACGGGGACTGTGGAGCCGCAAGCAGCAGGCCGCCCGGCTGAAAGCGGGCAGAGGGAGCATAAAGTTTAACATTCGGAGATGCCCGAGCACCAGCGCGAAGGCGGCACCAAGCGCTTTTGGCAAAGGAGGACGGTCCAAGCTCAGGGCCCCATCCCAGAATAGGTCTTCTCGTAGGTAAACAACAACGCCAGCACCAAACGTCTTAGTGATGTGCCAATCAACAAGAACAATCCATGCTATTTTTTAAAGAAGGGGTTCAAGAGAGCCCCATCTAGGGAAAGCAGACAGAATTCTCGCAGCCAAATTCTGCACCAGTTGCATCATCTGGGCTTTCTCCATGCACAGGCCTTTGCAGTAGGCTAACTTGGAGGTTGCCAGAACTGGGTGGCCAAAGCGAGGCTTCCCCTGTTCAAGGAAGGCTGCCGCTGGCTGCTCAGGCAAGGCCTCCTGGCTGGTGGTGATAGTGGATGCCTGCTCCCTCTGTTTGATCTGTCGAGAACAGACTGGATGCTCCCTTCCCAAGTCTTGTCCTGTCCTGTGCACCTCCCCCCCCCCGCCCCCGGTCTTCTCTGGATTCAGCTCCAATCCATGGCTTTCATCTGGTCAAAACGCTTTGGACAACATAAAACAAAAACTGGAAGTACAATGGTGTCTCAAGGTGGTTGGTTTAACCTGCTTTGAAACTTTATGACACCGTGGGATGAAAGTTGAAGGGAGCACAACAAAGCTCCACAAAACAAATGGGAGCAGGGCCTATTGGATCTCTCTTGTGGTGAATTCCTTCTGCCTTAGATTCATGAATGTGCACTTCTCATATTTCGGGGAATCTCTTCTGCTGAAGGTGAAAGGCAAAGTTTGGTATCTCCATTCTCTTTTTCACTCCTAGAAATCGGATGTGATTCCACCAGTATCAAATGAAGTGTACAAAGCCTCTGAGAGTGACTCAAGGAATGTTAGAAGCTGCATTATACTGAGTCCTGGCTAGTTGGCTCTGTCTGGCCCAGCTTTGTAAGCACTGACAGGCAGCAGCAGCTCTCTGTGGTTTCAGGCAGTGGTTTTTCCTGCCCCGTCTTAAGATGGTGCCAGAGATTAAACTGGGGAGTCAGAAATGAACAGTTAGTCTTGTAGGGAAGGGGTCCCATTTGATTATAAAGGCAAGCCCCTTTCATATTTTTTGAATAAGTTTTATTCTAAGTAACCCTAATACAAAGAAAAACTAAAAACAACATCGATCATTGGAAACATCGGACCTACTGGGTCAGCCCCCCACATTTTTTCTTTTTATGTTAACTTAAGAACATATTTAAATCTATGCGCAACCCTGTTTCTCTAGCCAATAATAAAAAGAGTCCCAAGTTTGAAGTTTGAAAGAGTCCCCTTTCAGCCAACTCAAGTGGGAAAGGATAAAAGTTAAAAGTCTTTGGGAAGGAAGGAAGCACATGGGGGTAGTGCTTCAGAGATGCGATTCTGGTTTGGCTGCAAGAGAGGAAAGCAGGCAATGAAGTAATAGTAGTATGCATCACACAGAGACAGTATTTAGAAACTGTTTACAACCTCAGAGCAGCTGGAAGAAGAAAAATAGAAATGATGGGCATGGCGAACAGCAGAAGGGCAGGCCTTTCCCTGACTCACACCTGACCCAAGACAGTATTGAGAAACTGTACCTAAAAAACAGCTTATGAGTTGTACTTGAGGTGTATTCTTGGCCAAACAAGAGTGAGATGGTGTTTTGCTCTGTTCTTTTCTCCCATGTTTCTTTATGCAGATTGTTTGCCATCTATCTTTATTCCAAAACCGTATGACCCAGAGGGACCACTGGTTGAATCTTTCTCAATAATAGTTGGGTAACACCCATGAGGTAGCCTGAAAACTAGAGTTGTCAAGTTTTCAGAAATGTTGAAGCCATGGAAAAAATATTTTGAAAACTTGAAAAAAAAATAGAGCATTAGCTAGCAGCCTTTACAGACAGAAAGTCGCTTGGTTACTTTAGGAACATAAAATGGCAGCTGCTTGAATTGCTCACCATATGGAGGGCTTGGCAGTTGAGTTCTTCTCTGTCACCCTGTTTCAGACACACACACAGATGAAAACTTCCAAAAGAGTGGAAGCCATGCCATTGGGGGTGGGGGGGGAGACAAATTTGGGGGAAAAACAAAACATGCAAAATTAGCATGTTTACAGATTAAAAGTCACGTCATAACTTTGGGCGTGTAAAATGTATTATCCTTAATTTTGTCTGTCTTAAAAGGATCAAGTCTAGCATATTAAAGGACAGTAATTACAACTTGTTCAACTTTTTAAATTGGTCTTTGTTTCTCTCCTGAACTGTTAGGAATCTCTTTGATTTTGCAAGTTTATGAAACAAACTGTCAATGTTAGTAAAACAAAGAAAACTAGGTCTCCTTTCGTCCTCTTCCCTGGGTCAGGCAGACATAAAGCACTCCATCCCATTAAAATGAATGGCTGTATAAAGGCTGAGAGAGGTGAGGAAGCTGCTGAAGAAAAGTTTGTGGCCAGCAGAGCTTGGTTCACAAGGTTTAAGGAAAGACAGCAACTCCGTAACATAAAAGAGCAAAGTGAACCTGCACGTGCTGACGTCAAAACTGCAGCAAGTTATTCAAATGGGCTAGCTAGGATAATTGATGAAGTTGAAAACACAGGTTTTCAGTGTAGACGAAACAGCCTTCTGTTGGAAGAAGATGCCATCTGGGACTTACATAACTAGAGAGAAGTCAATGCCCAGCTTGAGATCTTCAAAGGACATGCTGACTCCGTTGTTTAAGTTGAAGCCAGTGCTCATGTACCCTTCCAAAACTGCTAGGACCCTTAAGAATTACGCAAAATCCATTCTTCTAGGAAATCTAGGGGGAAAAAACATTTTGGGAAAACTAGGGAAGTGCTTTATCTCCCGTGAGGTGGGTTGGGCTGAAAGTCTGTGATGGACCCAAAGTCACCCCATGAGCTCCATGGTGGGATGAGGACTGGAATTGGGAGCACCCCAGTCCTCAGTCCAGTGCTCTAACCACACTGCTGTCAATTACTCTTAGTTATACAATATGTAAGTTTTCCTGGAGATGTTTGGACAGGCAGAAAGGTGGGATAAAAGCATTTAAAATCATGTAGAAAAATGTTGGCTGTGGAGGAGGGACACTGCTGGGTAGCATGACGCCCTCTGAAACGCTATGGGAAACTCCCTGGTTCCACGTCCTTTGCAGCACTAATGGACACTCGTGTGGGAGTGAGTCGATGGCCCTCCTCTGATTTGCAGGCATGGACTCCGGGACGCTGCGCACTGGGCCTCCCTGGTCTGGAGCCTCCTGCAGGGATGGCTGGCAGTTCTCGCTCAGCCGTAGGGGTGTCTGCATGCCTCCTAGCCTGGGCCCCCTGTGTGGAGTGGGATCACGTTGCAGGCAGCAGGCTTGTGTCCATGGCCTCGCATCAGGGAGTGTGGCCCAGTGGGAAGAGCAAAGAGTTTAGACCTTTTCAAATGAGGCATAATCGGCCTAAGCGGCATCTCTGGGAAAGCCTTCTCGAGTGTGTGTCACACCTGGAATAAATACGGTGCCACTGGGATGGCTCCTGAGAGAGCTGTTCTTCTTTTTCCCAGTTGTGCCTTCAAAGGATGTCCAGCCAAGCTGCGTCACGGACTTGGCCACTGCCTTGGTTTGCCACTGGGATGTGGACGCTTCCGTCAACTGCACCAAGGAGTTCCAGCTTCTTTATAGGACAGATGATTCACAGTAAGTGCCTGGCTGTGTGCTGTGCTGAAGGTGAGATGTGGGGAATCACGTCCAGGGGGAAGCCTCTCAGTGCTGGGGGCTTTGCAGCCCCGAAGAGGTGAGTGTTCCCCTGCAGAAGTAGCCAGTGCTGCCCTTGCTGCACAAGAACGCAAGTGCCCCGGCTGTTCCTGCTTACATGTGGAGGTCAACTACATGGATGGAGACATTCAAGGTCAAGGGAAGGAGCAAAGGAAGTTTGCAGTTACAACATTTTTTAAACTTGTGTACTTGTGGAACAGGTCTGTTTACTGTGAGCTCTCCACACTGAAAGGAGGAATCGTAGGATTCAAATTGGTTCCAACACTGTTTGAACCCATTGCAATAGCCAGCGGAGGGGCACCACTCCTTCCTTATCTCCCTCCTCATACCTTCCCAGGGTTGCAAGGGTCCATGGCAGGTTGCAGCTGGAAGGGTTGCAGAGCCTCCTCTCTCAAGGACAGGCTTCGTCCAAGCCAAGGCATTGCAGAGCTGAGTAGAGTATTGTGTTTTGTGTAGGAAAAACAATGGAAAGGCTCATGATAGCAAGAGATCTAGTGATGCTAGATAGAGAAGGGAGGCTGGCAACCACGCAACACGGTTTCTGCAAAAACAGGTCCTGCCAGACAAACCTTGTGGAATTCTATGACAAGGTTTCATGGTGGCTAGATGGAAGGGATGCAGTGGATGTGGTTTACCTGGATTTCAGCAAGGCCTTTGACAAAGTGCCCCATTATATCCTGGTTGAGAAACTGAGGAGTTTTGAGATAGACCAATGCACTGTTCGATGGATTAGGGCATGGTTGACTGACCGAAAGCAGAGGGTAACCATTAGTGGGGAATCATCGGGATGGTGGCCTGTGACAAGCGGGGTCCTCCAGGGCTCAGTCCTGGGACCGATCCTGTTCAATTTTTCATCAGTGACATGGAAGAAGGGGTGAACAGTCTGCTGATCAAATTTGTAGACGATACTAAAACCGGGGCAGTGGTCACAACTGAGGAGCAGGTACTCCAGATCCAAAAGGATCTGGACAGACTATGGAAGTGGGCAGGAGACAACAGGATGGCGTTCAATGTGGATAAGTGCAAGGTCTTGCACTTGGGGCAAAGGAATGGGTGTCATAAGTACAGCTTAGGGGACAAGTGGCTGGAGAGCAGCACTTGTAAAAGGAACCTTGGGGTGCTGGTTGACTGCAGGCTAAACATGAGTTAGCAGTGTGATGTGGTGGTCAAGAGGGCGAATGCCCTAGTGTGGCTTCTAGATCAGGAGAGGTATTACTATCACTCTATATGACTCTGGGGCACCCGCAACTGGAGTAATATGTTCAGTTTTGGGCCCCTCGTTACAGGAAGGATATAGCCAGGTTGGAGTCAGTGCAGCGTAGGGCCACAAGGTTGGTGGCCGGTTTGCAGGGAAAGCCATATGAGGCAAGACTGAGGGAACTGGGTCCTTTCAGCCTGGAGGAGACTCCGAGGGAATCTGTTGGTGACATACAAGTATGTGAGGGGGTGTCATACGGAGGTGGGTAGAGACCTATTCTCCCCTGCAGAGGAGGGCAGGATGCGCTCCAACGGAGTGAAGCTCAGGAAACCAAGATTCAATTTGGATGCCAGGAAGTACTTCCTGAAAGTTAGGACCCCAAGGGTACAGAATGGGCTTCCACGGGAGGTGGTTGAGGCCCCATCGGTGAGGGTGTTCAAAGATAGGCTAGACATGCACATGGCGGGCATGTCGTGAGCGCAGCCGGCTGGAGCCAGGGGTCAGACTAGATGGCCCTGGAGGCCCCTTCTGACTCGCTCTGTTTCTATGTTTTGCAAAGGCACTTCTAAGTGTTGTGTTGTACTTGTTCCAGGCCATTCTCCGAGTGTGTTCCTGAGAATGAACATGGCCCAGGTGCTGCCTCGACTTGCTCTTGCGTCATCACAGGGAACAAGTTCAGTTCTGTCAAGTATGATTTACAACTGTACAGGATGCAGATCTGTCTCTCAAGCACCACTGTGAATCCAGAAGACATAGGTGTGTCATGCTGTGGGCCTCCTGACAATCCGTAGCCAACAGGTGCAGAGGATTGTCTCTGCCACTTGGGTTTCCAATGGAGGGAAGCAGGAGCAGGGTGTTGTTGATCAGAGAGCTGTTTCCACCTCAGTGGCGCGCCCAGGGATGAAGCAGAGGCAGCAGAGAATTAATTTACCCCATCAGGGACATTATGAAGAAACACCCCTTGGTCCCTCAGCTGCAAGATGTGGAATTCTTACTTTGAGGGTGGGTGTAGAAGGGAGGAAATGACTGCTCTGGGGCCACACAAACCCATAGAAGGACTTGCTGAATGGCAGGGCACTCTGGAAGTCCCTTGAAGTAAATGAGTCTGGCCCCTCTGCAGTTCGTGCCTCTGTGCCTGACGCATGTGAGCTCTGCCCCTGCGTGAAGCCTGTTGCTGGGAGGATTCCTGAGCAAAGAGCACTTGGGCAGGAACACTGCCCCACCCATCATCCTCTATAAAGGGAGGAGGTCGCTCCCTCTCCCTGGTTCTCCTTTGACTGCCTTGTCATGGTGTGCCGGGAAGTCCCTCTCTCTCCTCTAGGGAGCTACTTGTGCAGGTTTTCTGTCTTGCTCATGAAACTTCGCATTTTTTCTGTAAATGCATTGGGCTGCCTCCTCTTGGTTGCTTCGGGCAGCAGTCCTGCAGTGCCTGGCAGACTCCTGGCTGTTTGTCCTAAGAGGAGAAAGTCCTTTGCTGAGGCAGAATTGCTGACCCACTAACAGGGTGTCTTCATTTTGCTTGTGAGGTGGGGCTTGGGGGATGGGTCAGCTTGGTGAGTACCTCCTCCTCTTTCAGGGTTTTTGTTTCATTTGGCTCTGGAAACTTGCCTTTCTGAGCTTGCTTTTGTATATAGTTAAATCTTACAGGACACGATCACAGAAAGTTTTTCCTGTATTTCATGGTGACTTGGCCCCAGAGCCACCTGCTCCCTTCTCATTGCCTTTGGCAGATGAAGCTGTGGTTCTCAGCTTGTTGCTTTAAAATGCTGCCATCTCTGCAGGCACAGAAGCAGATACTCAGAATGCTTTCATCAGGGGAAAAGAAAGTCCAAAACGCACAGAGCATTGTACTCTAGGACTGTGTCGGTGCATTCCTCAGCTGAATGTCCCCAGCTCTAACTGCTGCTTCACCAGCACAACCTTTCCCTTCCTCCATCTCCCACTTGTTGGTGTTTTTCTGTCACTTTGCAAAAGCAGTGAAGCCCAGGCCCCTGGTAAACCTGACTCTGGAGAAAAAGAGGAAGGCGCGCTCCTTCGTCCTCACGTGGCAAACAGACTACAAGCCAGGAGACAGACTTTACAAAGAGGATGTCACCTATCAAGTCACCTACTGGCCCAAAGACCAAAGGGAGAAGGTAGGCAGCCCCCACATGCCCACTGCCTCTCCTCCTTTTGATCTGGAGTAGCCCTCCAAAGTTCTGCCATTGGTTCCAAGTGGAGTCTCTGTGCACTTTGACCTGCTCACCAAAGAGTGGCAGTAGGACCATTTGTCTTAGTACAGATCTCCTGTGGAAATCCTGGAGTAGAAGACCCACAGTGACCACTCCTCAGACTAAGAGCCTTCACCCCAACTGAAGCAGCTGGTGTGGGGGATGCCAGAAGTGCCCCAGGGGGATCAGTGCAGAACCCATCTGCTCCCTCCGAGCACCTGTGTCCAGCGGTGGCCCATGAGGTGCCTCAGAAACAAGGGAGGCTGTGACCCTGATACTGTTATTCAGAGATGCCCTCTTTTATCGCTGGGCTAACACGCAATAGGCCTCCGCACTCCATGGTCTGATCACTTCTTAAAGCTCTCCCAGCCACCTCCGATCACCTTGGCACACGTTAATTAATTTCACAAATTAGTCACTCTTTGTGTGAAGAAAGCTCCTGTGCAGTTTATCCAGCGCTTGTTGCTGATCCGCTTGGTCCTTTTTGTTGCCTGTTTGCCAATTGGGGTGGGGTCATTTTTTCAGCTTTAGATTGTATGCTGTGCAAATGTGCTACCCCATTGTTTACCCCTGACTCCAGTACAATGACCTCATTGCTTTCCATTTTAAATGTTCAACTTAGCATTCTTCCCCTGTATTTAGAACTGGGCATGTTCTTGTATTTTGTGTTTCCATGAAGCTTTTTCATCAACCTAGGCCTGAGCTTAGGCTAAGGCGGTTAATTAATTTGACCTGTATCATGCTTTCCTACCAAAACCAGGCACTCAAGACAGCTATCCCCCCTACTCTGGGTGCTGGTGGGTTTGCATCCCTGTTGATTTTTCTAGATCTCGTGGCAGCATCCCATACTTTCGACCTGGGTATCTGCCCAGTGGGGATAAACTTGTGAGGGAGCCTGCTTTGCGCTGGGTCTCTGACCAAGGGTCAGTGCTCCTCCAAGTGCACCTGCTCCTAGCAAGGTCAGAACTGGTGGCGCTACCCCAGTTATATCTCCCTGGGCAAACAGCCATTGTTCCCACCTGTGCCTTCCAAGAAAAAAATGCCCCTGTCCTGCAGTGACACACTGATCATCGGCTGCCGCCCTTGGGACGGGCGTTTTCATACAAACCCAGGAAATGAACCCTGCTCACGTGTGGATTCCGGCAGTACTCCCAGCCCTTTCACCTCCCCTACCCTAATGCAGGGCTAGGGAAGCCCTTCCTCCTTGGGAGCCATGAGCCTGTGCACGCGACCTGTCGAGGGGCACCTGCTGCCGGAGGGTGGCACCAGCACTGCCCGTCCGCCCGTCAGTGAGGGCTGCAGCTGTGCCCCCTGCCTGCCCCCTCTAAAGGAGGAGGCATCAGGGACACTTGGAAGCAGTTGCACTGGGTGGCTTTCTGTACTTGGAATGTTTACCATTTAGGGGAATCAAGAAACATGAAGAAGAGATGAATATAGTTCAAATGAGAGACAGCTTTGCTTTCTGAGTGAGCACATGCTTTGCAGAAGTAGCAGCAGGTTGAGGCCCCATCAGTGAGGCTGTCCAAGGATAGGCTAGACATGCTTATGGTGGGCATGTTGTGAGCAGAGCTGGCTGGAGCCAGGGGTCAGACTAGATGGCCCGGGAGACCCCTTCTGACTCGCTGTTTCTATGTTTCTAATTTAAATTGCCCGTTTCTCTCCTCCAAGGAGCAGAACTACACAGTGCAGTCACCATGCTATGAAATCTTTGCTGACCGCCTCGTGCCAGAAGCCACCTATGTTGCAGCTGTGCGGTATCAGCTGGTTTGGTGGGTAAAGACCTGGAGCGAGTGGAGCACCCCCTGTGAATGGCATAATGGTGAGTGTTGGGGAAGGGTGCCATCCGCGCTCTCGTTGCCGCCCTCTGTCCCAGCCTAACCTGAACAGGCTGAATTTCCTCCCTCTGGTCAGACCCACCCACCGACAGCCTTTCAGTCTTGTCCGGACCGAGCTCCAGTTTACTGGCCCTCTCCCATTCCGCTTAGCCTTATTTGACACAGAACTGTGTGTGATCGGCATACTGACGATAACAGCCTCCAGAGCTCTGCAGGCAACCCCACTCTGCTGCTTTACAGAGGCGTAGAATAGTGTGGGACCTGTTCTGGAGAGTCCAAAGGGCCAGACAGCATCCCACTAGCATCACCTTCTGGAGCCAGTCATCCAGGGAGGAGAGCAACCGGCTCAGTGCAGTACCCCCCACTCCCAGCTCAGCCAGCTGTTCCAGAAGTCCCGCACAGTGGATGGCATCAGAAGCCACTGAGAAGCCCAACAGGATCACACTGCCCTGGTCTCTCCTGGCATAAGTCATTGCAGAGAGTGACCAGAGCTGTTTCCAAGCCAAAACCCAGCCTGAACCCTGGCTGGAATGGATCCAGATGATCAGTCTCATCCAGGAGTGCCCGGATGAGTTGGTCCATCATCAGCCTCACAGGGGCCTTGCCCAGGAAGAGAATGTGTGCTGCCAGCTGATTCAGACAGATCTCCCAGGCTCAGCGAGGGATGCTTCAGCACCACTCGTTTCAGGTGGCATAGGCCACTCCCTCAGATAAAATCACTCCAGGGCCCAGGTGGCCTTTGTTAGCCAAGAGGGGCAAGGATCCGGGACGGATGTGGTTGCACAAACACCTCCTTTCCCAGCACCTCATCAACATCTTTGAGCTGTCCTGACTGGAAGGCATCCAGGCAACCTTGACCAATCTTTGCCCTGGATATCTTGCCTGATTACAGGACAAGAACTTTGCAGTCTAAGTCCTGGCAGAGGCACAAGGTTTTATTCTGGAAATGCCTAGCAATACTTAGCAGCAGGCCTCAGCTGACTCTAGGATGTCCACTTGCACCTCTCATTCACTCTCTCTGCAGTATACTTGACTACCTGATCGGCTCCACTAGGTGTTTCCCTCCATCTGTACGCAAGCTGCCTCTGGTTTTGTTTCATTGGTCTTTGCTCTAGAGCAGGGATCCTCAAACTTCTTAAACAGTTCACTGTCCCTCAGACTGTTGCAGGGCCAGACTATAGGTTGAAAAAATATGAATGAATTCCTATGCACACTGCACATTAAAAACTAATTAAAATTAAATAAAATTAAGATTTTTAAAAATAATTAAAAATTACAAAATGTTTGCTCTGCTCCCTTGGGCTGTATCAGGAGGCCAAGCTGAGGTGGGGAAGAGCATGTCCGTATTTGAGGACAGAGCTACAACACAACCAAGGCACTAAATAGAGTATTTTGCATCATGCAGCTGATGGCATTTACAAAGAATGAAGCAAAAATACTAAGGATAAATACTGTTAATGCCACTCTTAGTATTTGAAGCAAGTCAGTGCAGAACAATTCCCACAATACACAATGGCTGTATTAGGATGCAGAGCTAATGACTACCTATTTTAAGTGCAACCTTGCCAAAACTGGTACTGTCCAGATGAGTTGGACTACAACTTCCATTGGCCATGCTGGTTGGGCATGATGGAAATTATAGTCCTTGCTGCTGCCCCGCTTCCAAGGGAGCGGGAGCGGGAGGCCAGAGAGGCGAGCGTGGGGTGGCTGCCCTGGCCAGGAGAGGGCCGCAAGGAGGGAGGGGAGGGCTGCTTTCTGAGGTGAGGGGAGGCGAGGGACGGGGCTGCAGCTGACCGAGCAGGGTGCCTCCCGCCTCTTCCCGCCACGGGGGGAGGAAGCACGGCTGCCGCTCGACAGTGGCAGCTCGTTCAGAGAAGGCCATGGTGGGGGCCTGGGAGCTGCAGCCCTGCGCTGCCTCAGCCCGTCTGCCCCCGGGCTTGCTGAGGTGGCCGTGGCTTGGCCCGCAGCCCAGGGACATGGCTCACATTGTTACAAACAGATGTCAAAAGTTCTATTTTTCTTACCTTCTATCCTTTTGAGTGTCTTCGTCTCTCTTCCTCTTCCGCCCTCCTCTCTTCTGTTTCCCGCTCCATATGCCCGCTCTGTATATGCGTGCAATAGGGGAGGAAGAGCCGGCCCATGCACAGTTGAAAGGAGCCGTTACAATTTGGCGCGTGCGACAGCATTCTGCTCAGTTTCAGAGAGCGCCTGTGCTGGCTCAGAGCTTTCGGGCTTGCTTGGAGATCATCCCCAAGCGAGTCCAAAAGCTCTGAGGCGGGCTGGGTAGATGACCATGGTGGCCATATTTTGAGAAAACATGCTCTAGAACATGGGTCCTCAAACTATGGCCCGTGGGCCAGATCCAGCCCACCATGCCCATTTATCCGGCCTGCCTCAGACGTTTTGGACTCCCCGTGCCCACGTGTGCTTGCCATCGCCTCGCTGCGCGGGCAGCAAGCTGGCGGCTTGCTCGCTTGGGGATGGTTTTGGACTCGCTCGGAGATCTCCAAGTGAGCAAAGTGCTGCTGCGTGTGCGCCCACTGCTGCCTGACTGGTCCGCGCCCGCAGGCACCCCCACCACACTGGCCCACGCCCATCACCACTGCTTTTCGACTGGCCCCCTGGTGAAAAGGTTTGAGGAGCCCTGCTCTAGAATAGAGCCAAACGGTGTCTGCTGCAGAGAGGGCACTCAGGCGTGATCGTGCCAAACACCCTTTATTCCTGAGATTGGCCAAGGATTCGACAGGACCTCCCTCCCGCCAGATCCACAGCCTCTAAAGAGGAGCCCCTTTAGTAGCTCCCCCGCCCCGCAGAAGGGACGATTTGCTTGTAGTCTGAATCTCAATAGGCAGCGATGTCACCATGGCAAAGGGACTGGTTCACCTTCACATCATTATCCCAATGCCCAGCTGAAAACGCCAGATCCAGAGCGGCATGGTGCGACAGCCCCAGAGTTGTCCTGGAGTCCTGTATGTTAGCATCCCGCCAGACCAGCACCTTGGGGGACCTCAGAAGTGCATCTGAGGCAAAGCTCTTTGAGTTAAGATCGGGAGGCCATTGTGTGGCAGCTGCTAGGTGGACAGTGCACCAGCAGGATCTCCGGTCTGCTGGGGCCACAGCAGTGGGCAGCCACAGTGCCGAGTCTAGGGCAGGGCAGAACTTCCTCCAGCTGCCTTGAAGATGCTGGGGACTGAGCAGGGTCCTGGGGCTGTGCAGAGCCTGTGGGCTTCATTGGGGGGTGGGGGTGGGGTGTCCCTCAGGAGTTTTCACTCAAGGTTTTTGCTCCAGGCCTTGTTTTACTTCAGACTCATCAGTGTAAAATGGATGACTTCTTGCTGCAAAACAAATGAATTTCCTTTATAGATTTTGAGCGAAAACCAGAAGATGTACTCTGGAAGTCCATTTACTGGTTGTCTGCACCTGTCGTGGCCATAATCCTAACCTGCTACCTCTGCTTTCTCAGGTGGGTATGCTGTGAAGTTTTGCCCCTTGTGAAGTTCACTGTTCCTAGGCAGGTGGAAGCCTGAGTTGCTGGGGCCTGGGTTGCGGAGCCATGTCCTCCCGAGGAAAGGGGGCCCTTCCCTGCTTTCCAAGCCACACACCGTAGACTCAAGCGGATGCACAAAGAGGGGGACCCTTGCTCTTTGACTCCTATTCGTGTGGGTGGGACAGTGATTTCCGAAGATCGGTGGTGTGGGCTGCAGGCACTCGCTGAAGGAATCGTGCACTTGAGAATAGGCCTGGGTATGTTGTTGCCTGGGCATTGCTGCCAGTTTTCCTCTGAGGGCTTTGATGTCCACAAGCTGGCTCTGTGCCAGCCTTGCTTCCCCTCAGCTGTGCACGGGGCTGAAAACCAGGGCCCCTTGGACCCCTGGTAAGGGCAAGCTGCCAGTGGCCCCTGGAGCGCCTCCCTGCCTCTTGCTCTGGCCCAGGTGCCGCTGGCACACTGCCACATGGGCCATGCCAGCGATGCCAAAGCAGAGGCAGGGCAGTGGCACTGCAGGGGCTGCCTGGAAGTGGGCTCCCCGAGAGAAGGGGATGCCATCCACCCAGCAGTTCTGGCTCTTCTGGGGAAGAGTGACCTTCCTTGCTTTGCAGGGTGAAGAGGGATTGGTGGGACCGAATCCCGAGCCCAGCAAAGAGCAAGATGGTGGAGGCCACAGCGAGAGCGGTAAGAGACCTGAGAAGCCCGCCCTCCAGGTGCCCCATGGCGTGGTGCCTCATGCGCAGCTGCACCTAAGACCACCTTCTGCCTCTTTCAGTTCCCGGTTGTGCAGAAGGGCGATGGCAGGACCGCCTTCCGTGGCACCTGGAAACTGTATGTATGCCGCTCTCTCATTTACACTGCAAAGGTGCCAGGTTGTCATTTGGTTCTTTGCAGCAAAATGGAGCAAGCACAGCTCCTCCCCCAAAGGGGTCCCTGAGCCCAGGCGTTTGTAACGTAAAAGTAGGCCGGGGGGGGAGGAAGCGTGGGGAGAGGGAGGGAGTATGTGGCGCGTGCAAGCAGAGCAGCTCCTGCCTGAGCCTCGGCATGCAGCTCCCCTCCGCTAATGTGCGAAATAATACCAGGTGGTGTTTTTCTGTCCTACATGGAACCTGCAGGAACGCTCTGAGCAAACGTTCCGCCGTGCTCGCTGGCCCAGCTGCAAAGGAGAAGACTCCTCAGGATGGCCCTGGTGGGAAACCGGAGGTGTTCCTTACTCCTGAGGTTGCTCTGGTGGAGTGCCCGCTGCTCATGTACAGCAGAGCTCCAGCAACCAAAGGGGAAGCCCTGGACAGAGGAGAGCAGGGTGGCCTGCCTCGAGAAGATCCTGTGGCAAGCCTCTTCGATGACCTTCTGAACGGCGACTGGCACTCAGGGAGCAGCGGGAGCTGCGAACCTCCCACCTGGGGACAGGAACCGGGGCCCCTCCGGGCTGCTCCTCACCTTCCCCTGGAAACCCCTGTAGAGGAGCACAGCTGTCGAGCTGCCGGTGGGGGGCTAGAGACAACCTCTGAGACTGGCCTGCGGATGGAGCCCGCTACTTCACCCAAGCCAGGGAGCCCGCCACTCAAAGAGTGGCCAGAATATGGCGCCTCCTTTCCGGAAGCCCAGCCTGAAGGGTCGGCCCCAAACCCAGCAGATCCCCTGCTGGGAACTGTGGGACGCGGCCATGTCGAGGGCTATGAAAGCAGGAGCGGCACCTCCATGGCCAGCCAGTCTGGCTACCGGTGCTTCAGCAGCTTGGTGGCCCAGCCCATGGTTGGTTCCAGTCAGGGCTGGGAGCACGGAGTGTTTCCTCCGCAGGGGGACCAGCTCCTGCCACAGTGCAGCTGCGCAAGGCCCTGCCTGGACTCCTGGCCTGCCGACCCTCAGCCAGATCTCCCAGGAGACCAGGCGGCAGGGTGGCTCTCCCCCGGCAGAGTGGCCACAACAGGTCTGGGCTTCCCAGCAGTGCCAGGAGGAAGGCTGGAAGCTCCTTTGCAGGATGTCCCTGGGAAGCCAGGCCATGCCTCTTGCCCCGCTGCCTCTCTCTCCGCCGGGTACAAACCCTTCAGCACGGCACTCCAAAGCAGCACAGCATCTGGGGAGCCCTGCAGCCTGGCCCTGGAATCCCCATACCGGCCCTTACTCATGCTGAGGAACGGTCCCGCAGGAAACCCTGGCTTTCTTTAGCCCCAGCCAGGGGACACCGGCAGGGGGAGACTGGCCCAGCCAGGCATGCCTGGGGCAGGCCCCGTGCCCTGCCTCAGTGAGGAATGGGATCGCACGGTACTGGTTCCAGAAAGAGGGGTGAGGCAAGGGCCATGGTGCTTCCGTGCAGCTGCGATGCCTGGGGAGTGGGAGGAATCCATCCAATGGCCGATGGACCTCCGAAGCAAGGGACACTGGAGCCGCTCTCCATGGGTGCCGCTGCACATGCCTCGCTGCTGGACTCGGGACAGGGAAGGCTTGCTGCCATTTCACAGCCAGGCAGCACTGCAGAGACATGGTCCATTCCCATAGGGGTGGAGGAGCGCAGACCTGGCCCAGCAAAGAGCCAGCTTGTGTACATGCATGTGCGCACACTCCTTACACATACGGCGTGAAGAGGGGGGAGCCGAAGCTGAATGTGCACGGCTTCCTGCCTGCCTGGGGTTTGTTTCAGCTTTCCTAGCTGCAGCCAGCCAGGTTGCGATGCCCGGTTCCCGCCAGAGCTGCCTGTGGGCACCAGGCCAGCGGAGCCCTGCGCTCCTCCCACTCTGGTGGGGTCGGCTCTGTGGTCCTCGCAATGTCCCACCAGAGGCAGCCCGAACCTGCTTTCGAGGGCGCATGCAGAGGGAGGGCCTGGAGATCCTTGTGGCCAGGCTGCTCCAGAGCACGGCCAGCCTGAGAAGCTGCTTCTGGGGGGCAGCTGTGCTGCAGCATCCCCCCTTGGGACCACCTGCTCCTGGCTCCCAGCACATCAGCCTGCTAAGCACAGCTGCCAGCACTCTGCCTGTTAGCCATACCAGCTGGAGCTGATGGGGAAGGCAGCCCAACACCCCAGAGGAACAGGGGCAAGGGAGACCTGCCTGTGCTGCTGGCCCACTCCCGGGTCAACCACAGGGGCTGCACCAGGGCACACTGGCCCACAGACCGGCCTGTGGCCGCCGTGCCCTGCTGCCCTCCGTGCTCGTCCGTGGCGGCTGGCGGCGCCGGCCCATGAGCAGCCCACTTGCAGGCGGGGCTGTCAGTCCTGACGCAGCCAGAAAGGCTGGGAGGAATGGAGGCTGCAGCTGCCCCCACCCCAGCCCAGCCCAGCCCAGCCTGCAGCCATCCCTGTTCCTGTCTGTGCAATACAAAGTGCTTGGGAAAGCGCCCTATATTCTAGCATTAAACCTTTTTATGAAGAAAATCAGGGCGCTGTTGTCATTGTCATTGCTGTCCTGTATTATTCTACCACTACTACATTGTGTTAATATCTCACTTTTTCCTCTTGTAAGGAATACAAGGTGGCTTAAACATGGTGGTACCTCGGCTCACGAACTTAATCCGTTCCACTACTCTGGTCGCGAGCCAAATTGGTCACGATAAATTTCCCCATAAGGTTCAATGTAAATAAGGTTAATCCGTTCTGTAAATATTTTTTTAATCACAAAAATTTGAAACAAAGTAACAAAAAACAACAAAATAACAAACTACAGTGCAGTAGAGAACACTAACCTAGGTGGGGGTTAGGTTATTGTTTGGAGGGAGAGTCCAAACCATAATCGTGCAGTAATGATCGTGCTGGGGCGGGGCGGGGGGGGGGGGGGGCCACGATCGCACTTGTCCAGGGAAGATGGCAACGATTGTGATTGTGCGGCAACATGGCCGCAATCGTGGTTGTCACCCAATGCAGAGTTTGCTAACCGAGGCAAAATTTTTCTGAAATTTCTTGATTGGTCGTGAACGGAGGCGTTTGTGCGCCGAGGTGCCACTGTAGTTCCATTTTATCCTGACAGCGAAAACAGTATTCAAGATGGGGCCTAGCTAGTGCTGAAATGAGGGGGGCCAGGCCCTCACAAGATTTGGGAGCTATACTTTCCTTGATGGAGCCCAGTACAACATTTGCTCTTTTTGCAGGCACATCACACTGCCTGTTCATATTTGGTGTGTGATCTACTATAGTTCCAGGAGCCTTCTCACTTGCATGATTGTTGAGCCAGGTATCCCCATCTTCTAACTGAGCACTCAATTCTCTTGTCCTGGGTATAGAACTTATATCTGTCTTCCAGGATATTAGCCACCCCACCCAATTTTGTGTCGGCCTGTTCCCTGCACCCCCTCATCCAAATCAGTAACAGAAACAGCTGGGAGCATTGGCCCAGGACTGAGGCTTCTGCTACCCGCTAGTTACTTCTTCCGTTTAAGAAGGTACCACTGAGAAGCACACCGAGCTTGATTCCATAACCAAGTACGGCTACACCTGATAGTCGTTCCATGTGGCCCACTTTTAGTTAGTTGCCTTTCTGCTCCAGAATTTTCCCAAGTCAGGCCATAGTTCTGTAGTTCCAAAGAGCTTCCTTTTTGTCTTGGGGACAACATTAGCCACCTGCCAGCCATCTGGCCCTTCTCCCATCCTCCATGATTTTTCCAAGATTGTGGGCTGTGGATCTGAGAGTTCTCCTGCCAGTTCCTTGATTACTCCAGGATGCAGTTCATTCAGCCCTGGGGATCCAGACATGTTCAAAGAAATTACGTGTTCCTTGTTCATTTATCATCTCAGGCTGCAATCCTGACCCTTCAATTTCTCCTACTTCTGCCACGGGGGGAGTGCCAGAGAGCTGCCTTGGGAAAAGAGCTTTCTCAATATCTGGAAAGGCCACACGGTGGACTTGTGACTTTAAAATCTCACTTTTTGTCGCTTTTCGTCGTGGTATCTGCACGATGCACATCCAGGTGCTGCGCCTGCACACTGCCTGTTGTCGGGGCGATGTTACAGGTTTAACGGTTTTTGGCGGGATCTCTGCGCCCCTCCCCGGTATAAATACACGGTGTCTCTCACCTTCGCCAGTCTGCTTGAGGCTGCCGTTTGCCCACGTCTCGAGCGCTTTTGCTTGTCGCGTTGCTTCTCTCGATAACGCCTCTACCCTAATCGTTTTTCTCTAAATCAGGGGTCTCAAACTCACGGCCCACAGGCCAATTGCCAGGACGGCGGGGCACGGGGGAGGGGGCCCTGCAGCCTTCAAAGCGCCAGCGGCGCCCAGGCCGGCCACGGGATGAGCAGCCCACCACCACCGCGGTGATGGAATACTTGATGCGGCCCAGCCTCACCCAGACTCCACTTCCAGCGGCCCCCTGCTCTAAATCCTTCACTTTGCTTTCTCCGATATTTGTCTCTTATTTGATCGCTTCTCCCTACAATCCTCCCTTCCCCCCGCAACTATCTTTAAAATCTTGATTCTTAAAATCAAGAGCTTGAGTGTGTTGTGGTCACACTCGCCCAGCATCTCCATAACTGGCACTTCAGCTGCTGAGTCTTCCCTGTTAGTGTTGCGTTGAGAATCGCTGACCTCTAGTTCCCTCCTCCACTTTCTGCAGAAGAAAGAGATCCACCTTGGATGTCAGGAATTTCTTGGGCCGCTTTTTGCAGAATTCATTTTGCGCATGGACCAAGACGGGGGCTCGCACCCGGTTTCCCGAGCCAGCACTGGCCAGCAAGCCACACCGGCTCCAGCGCAACTGCCGGCCGTGTCTCCACGAGGAAGGCAGGCGAGGGGGAGCAGCCTTGGAGGAGCGCCATGGCAGGGCACCAGCTCGCAGGCCTCGGTGCCGAGCTGTCGCCGGGGAGGGAGAAGCTGGCTGGGCTTGGCTGGTCCCGGGGGCAGGGCAGCCTGCCAGCAAGAGAGTGGGGTGGGCGGCCCGCTTGAGCTCTCCCAAGTGGGGTGCTGCGGAGGCAAGGCGTGGGCCAGCTGGCGCTTCCCTTCCCACGGACAGGCCTAGGAGAGGGATCTCTTCCAGGAGGCTTCCCGTTTTGATGCAGGCCCAGCCATGCTCTCGGTGGCTTGCTGTTGGGAAGTGAGGAGCGCCAATGGCCCTGCACAGTGGCCATTTCGAAGATGTTCGTGACGGTCCATCATTTTGCGAGGGCGCGACTGCCCACTGTGAGCCTGCAGCCTTTGGTAGGCAGGCCACGGGAGACGGAGACCCTCGGGCTGGCAAACGCTCTCGCCCTGGCTGGAGCCTGCGGGGGTGGCGAGGCGAGGCGAGGCGTGTCCTGCAAGCAGCATCCCGCCAGCTACGGGCCAGGGAAGGCGCGCTACTCGTGCTTCGCAACGCGGCCCCAGGCGTGCAGGTGCTCGCAGCGGGAAGGCGCGCCTGGGATCCGCCGGCGAGTGGGCAGCGCGGGCGGCGTGCCCCGCAACGCGAGTGGCAGGGGCGTTCCGGGCACGGCGGAGAGGGCACCCCGCGAGGTCCAGCGGCTGCCGGGGAAGCCAGACGATGCGGCCGCTCGAGGGACGCCCGCTCTTGCTGAGCGGAGTTCCGCGTGCGCCCCGGCAAAGCAGCGTTGCCGCCGAGCGTGCTGCGTAGCCTTCCGAGCGCGTCCGGCTCGCTTCCGCCCTTTCCCCTCGGGCAGCGAGTGCGTGTGTTCCGGGAGGTTTCGCTCACTCGCTGCCGGGAAACTCCGGGGCTGGGCGAGGTTGAGGCTCTTCCTCGCTGCGCCGGCGGGGGCGAGCGCGCAGCAGTGCCTGGAATCCTGAGCGCACGTGTGCTCGCGTCCTCTGCCGATGGCTCTTGCGCACCGCGAGCTGCGTCCCAGAGCGTGGCAGACAGTCTCCTCCCTCCCTCAGCCCCGGGAGGAGGGACAGACCTGGGGCCCAGCAGGACACTGGCTCGCCTCCCGAGTGGAGAACTCGGTGCCACCCCGGGTGTGCGGGCGTAATCTAGCGCAATCCCAAGAGTGCGAAGGGTTCTGGTTCTGGACCTGACCAGAAAGAAACTGGAACTCTGGAAAGCAGTCTTCGATCTTGCAAGCCATGCGTGGCTAGAGCCAGAGGGGCGTGTCTTTGTGCCTGGGCCTCCAGGCCACGAGAGAAACCCCCCCCCCCGCCCCCAGGCTGGGTAGCCACACCACACATGGCTGAGGAGGCTGCATGCTCAGGCAGTTGTGGAAAACCCCAGCTGCTTCTGAGAAGAGAGCTTTACCACAAGATGGGCGCTTTCTGTGAAGCGGGTTACTAACAAAGCGTTCTCATGGCCACCCGTGGGTGGCAGCCCTGAAGCGTGGGGTTCCGTCTCAGCAGCCCTGGAGTACTTTCCCGCCGCCATTTCAGCACACCCAGAGAGAGGGTGCTCCAGGCCAGCGAGCTGCAGCCGCTGAGCCAGGCGACCTCGACAGAGCTGAGGCCTGCCTCAACCCTCTGCCTGGTTTCTTAGGTGCAGCTCCCCTCTTTGCCCCATTGACTTTCTTGTTTTCCCAGTTTGAGGGTGGACAACAGCACAAATTCTTGGCCCAAAGGCAAAACCAAAGCATTGCTTCGTTGGGATGCAGGAAGCCTCAGCAGCTGCATTCATTCTGAAGAGAATTGTTGATTTAAACCCAGTGTTGGTTGGGGCTATTCTACAGCTCTTGATAGAAATATTTTTAGGGGTGGGCGCAGCAATTCAGTGGTCTGGTGCCTTAATTCTGTTAGGAAGTGAGGCATATTCCTTGTTCTGGTCCTGTGACTACCGAACTGGGGCAGGTTCTGCACAGCTGTGGCTTTGACTCAGGCAAAGCTCTATCAACATAATCGCCGTTGGTTTCCTGCACTTTTAAAAGCAAAACTGGCTGCTGCAGCGGTGGCCACCATTTTACCTGCAGCTTGCAAATGATTTCTCTGGAGGTGAGGCAGTGTGCAGCAGCGCTTCGGGGAGTAGGCGGTCTGCCTGTCACCATGAAGTGACCGAGACCCCCAAGTCTCCGCCTGTGCACAGCCTGGGAGCCGGGCCCTGCAGAGCACTGTGGGTAGAAGGGGAGTGTGCGCCGGTGCCGGTGCCCCTCCTGGCCTCACCACATCCTTCTGCCCAGGCAGAGACTGACGTCAGGCTCGCCTGTCGGCTGCTCCAGAGCAGAGCTCGGAGTCTGGTTATGACTCACTCACTGGTTCCCTGCCTGCGAAGGTGCCGTCGCAGAGGCTGCCGTAGAGTCTGCTGGATGCAGCAGCCAACTGAGGAGAGCAAGGAGGCTGGTAATGCCGGGCAGGGGGTGGGAGTTGCCTTCCCGCACCCACAGCCTCTGCTGGGGCATGGCCGGTGTTGGGGAGGGGGACCAGGCTTGTGGCTAAAGGCCTACCCTGGCTCTTCCCATCAGGTCATGATCTGAAAGGAAGAGTCCTGGGCCTGTCCCCCACATCTGGGTGTCCTCAGGCCAGCCTTGTTGGCCGCAGACTCGGAAGAAGCCCTCCCTGCCCAAAGGCAGTGGTGTAGAGGGCCTGGTCTGGCATACAGAAGCCGAGTGGCATCACGAGTGGGAACCCTCATGCTGAGCTGGTGGCCTTGCTTGCTTTCTGTGAACATGCATGCATTGGTCGCGAGATGGAGAACATTCCTGCTTTAGCTGAAGAACCAAGTGAGGCATGATGTGGGAGTTATGTGAACAGGGTCTTCCACTTATTTTAAAGAACTTTAATAGCAAACTGGAGAGATTTGGGTCACTGAGGGAGCTGGGGCTTAACCTCTCCGTTACGTTTTTGATGCCCTCGAAGTTGCTAAATACAGAATATATAGAAAAAGTTAATTTTCCTATATAGTCTTGTCTCTTACCTTTTAAAATGTTTTGCCAGTATTAACAGTTTCTAGTGAGAAACTCACCCAGCCATTGCTACGGAGTGTAGTGCTCTGCTTTTTTTTAGAACTGTTGCCGGACACGTTCTGAATGCTGCAATGCAGTTTCCCTCCTTATCCCGAAGCAGGACCTTTCCAAGGCTTTGATGCTAAGCACCTGCCTTGCAGGAATCCACTTGAGAGCATCCTTCCAACTCCTAAGCTAAGGGCAACATGGGAAAATCCATGTGGTTCTCATGGCTGCTGAGAATAACATGGAGGCAGACCTATAACGCATTGTTTAATTGTGACCAGTGCTGCTCTCCAGGTCTCAGGACTTTATTAATTTCATGACAAAAAGAGGATTATACAAACACCCATTTGTTGACATTCCTATAGAAAGGAAATGTCTGCCCGCAAGAGGGTCTGGTGCATAAAGCAGGCTCTTTATGCCTCTTCATCCTCCAGTTCCTTTCAGGATTATTACATCGCTGGAAAGGAAAGGGAGAAAACAAGCCATGAAGAAGCAGGTGGACAACAAGCACTTGCATATGAGCAACATAATTTGGATGTGTATCATCCATAGACTGGTTCCAAAATACAAAACAGAACCTTCAGCTTTTACAAATAGGACCCAATACACCTGACTTTCCTGGCCCACCTATAAAGGTCAATGCCATCACTGTTGTTGCCCTGTTGTTGCATTTCAAGTTCCGTTTTAAAAGGTGAAGAATTTTTTTCTGATAAGAGGTCATAGAACTATTGCGTGGTAGTCTGTTGCGGAATCATCCCTTTGAAGTGATTGGATTAAAATGCCATGGAGTTGTTTGGAAGCCACTAATTTTCTGACTGTGGCATCATGCAGAGCATGGCAAGCCAGCCTGCACAATCCCACAAAAAGCCGCAGCTTCTCAGTGTGGCTGCTGCAGTTAACCAGCACACTGGAGAAGCCATGGTGGGTTAAGCACCACGACAAGCCACCCTGAGACAACACCCCGTGCACCGACCCACTGTGCACACCTGGCAAAGAGACAGAGGGCTGCATACTGTGGCTTCCATACTTCCCCACGTCTCCCTGCTGGAGGTGCAGGAGAACCTGACTTGCTGCTACGGGGACACCAGTGCTCCTTGTTGAAGGAGCTAATCTGGGAGCTAATCTGTTGTGAGCCCCAAAGTAGATTCTGGGGGCCCTTTCTGTACTCCTACCCAGCCTCAGCATTGCTGCCACTAACCCCTGCTATCTCCAGGACCGTGCAAGGAAGCAGGACCCAGCCAAGCTGCCCTTTGCACTGCAGGGACACGAGGAAGCTGGCCCAGTAAGAGAAGGAGGATGGAGCACCAGGTGCTGCTGCTGCTACTTTTCCTTCCCCACAGTAAGTATGAACACGTCTGTGGCACAGCCTTGTTCCCTGGCCACTCTGACAGCAGTTCCTGCCAGAGCCCAATGGGTAAATGCTGCCCCATATCAGCACTCCCCCTTGCTTCCTCATGGCCATCCCAGCTCTCGGAGCACAGGCTGCGGGGCAAGGCTGACCCTGGAATGGGCAGGTCTGCCTTTCTGAGGAGCACTGTGAGGTGGGTTCCAGCCCAGCAGGTGCACCTTGCCCCCATATCCTAAAGGTCTCGACCTCACCCCATCAGCTCCCACTGCCACCCACTCACTCTCGTCTTCCTTACACCTGGGGAGCCCTTTCAGGCCAAGGACCAGAGTGCAAACTGGGGGAGGGGGAGGGCCCCCCCTTCCTTCTGTGGGCAGAGCAGCTGAAGCCAAGCACAGCTATTCCAGTCCTAAGCCTGCTTAGAACCGAGTTGCTCTGCGCACTTTCCAGTAGCCTCCCAAGGACTCAACTGCTGCTTCTCTGCTCAGAACGGAGCAGCCTTTTTTCCTGCACAACACACAGCTTCACATCTTTGTGCGAGGTCAGGAGGGCTGACAGAAGGCCCCCGCCCCGCTTTTTCGCAGTCCCAGATGGAAACCTGCAGGTCCTTTCTTGGGGGGAGCCCATGTGCCATCAGAGTCCAAATGCCGGCCAGGACCTTGGGAGACCTGGGTTCGAGCAGCTATTCAGGCATGGAGCTTATGAGGTGACTTTGGGGCAGTCCCTGACTTTCGCCCTACCTACCTCACAGGATTGTTGTTTTGAGGATAAATGGAGAGTGGGGGAGAGGATTGCAGAAGCTCCTTCGGGTCCCTTGCAGAAAAAAGAGAGGGATGGAAATACAGTAAATAGGTAAAATCCCTTAAGCCACGCCAGGATTTCTGAAAGGGCTGGTCTGCCCCATGCGTGGCCAGGCCGGGCTGGTCTCCCTGTGCTGTCTGCAAGGAAAGAGGGACAGCTCCCCCACCCTGATTCCATGCAGAGCCAGATTCCCAGTTCCAAGGGTCCCCAGTCCTGGGACACAGCAACACCCCTGCCCCCCCGCCACTCACAGCCCAAATTTGGAAGGGAATGCAAGCACAGCGCATGCACAGCGCCGCATTGCTTTGCCCTCATTCTCACTTTGCATCCCCACAGCCTCTGCCTGTGACGATCTCGCCTGCTTTGCGGACTACATCCAGACTCTGATGTGCATGTGGAGCAGCAGAGATACCAAGGTACACTACAACCTCACTGCGAGCTGGTAAGTGTGAGGAGCAGCGCCGAAACAAGCGCTGCACCGTGGGCCCTGTGGGGGTGGCGCGGATGCCCTTTCCGGTTTGACTCCAGCAGAATCAGGAGCCCCCTGCCCCCCACCGAGCCCTGGCTTGGCTTGAGGACCACAGAGTGGCTCACCAAATGCCTCCAGAGGGAAGGTCCAGCAAAAGCTGCATCCGTACGAAGCATTTCCACTAGTGGTTTGGATGCGTGTGCCTTGGCCGCACGTGCAGAGCACTGAACTCACTGGCCTGCTCTGTTCAGCCATAACATATGCTGGGAGGGGAGGAGGCCCCCTAACTGAGTTCCAGGCAGCCAAGCCATAGAACTGCCCCCTTGCCACCTCCCACTGTCCCTGGGGGTGCCCTCCAGCCCCTCCCCATCCCCCTGCGTGGAATAAGCAGGAGGTTCCCACCTTGATCCCCAGCATCATCTCCAGGTAAGGCTGGAAAAAATCCTGGAGAGCCACTGCTGCAGCCAGCCTGGGGCTTGATGGTCCCAGCAGGAGGTAGCTTTGGACGCTGCCACCACCCAGCCCTCAGACAACGAGGCGGTCGCCACTCTCCTGTGATGCCTCGTCTGCCTCTGTCTCGTGTGCTGCCTTACACACATAATGGTGTCTGTTGACCAACAATGGTCCCACACTAAGAAATATGTTTGGTTTTTGAAGGAATTGTGTGTTTGACGGCACCTGCTACTTCCTCCCCACTTCTGGGAATGCCACTCAGACACTGTATACTTGCTTCTCGGAGCAGAAGCTGCGCTTTGGCAGCGACAACTTTGTTGTGGAGGTAACAAAGTTTGCAGATGAGCCCCTCAGCACTTCCAAAGCATGCCAGAGGACCTTTACACTCCAAGAAAGCAGTAAGTCTGAGGGGGAGCCGGGCACCAGAGCAAGGCCTGCGAGCTCCTGTGCCTTTCTGGGTGTATGAGTGCCTGAGCTGAGCAGCACGCGGGCATGGTTGCAGTAAGTCCAGTGGGAAAGCGGCTGAGTGCAGGTGCCAGAAACAGCTCCTTGCGGATGGGAAGAAGCTCAGGGTGACCCAAAAGCAGCCAGAGAGGTGGCCGCACCGAGCAGAACCCACATGTGGACAGAAAAGTCCTAGTGATAAGCATGTTTACCCTCTCTGTATAAACATGCTCTTTTTGGCCTTCTGCTTTCCTAAGTGGTGAGAAGGACTTGGCTGGATTTGGTTTCCTTCAGAAGCAGAGATCAAAGGTGGCTTATCCTATTTTTGAAATTTCTGGATAGATTCCTTAATACATATAGGTGAAAAAAAAGAAGAGAATGACCAGGTAATTGTTCATAATGGTTAAAAATAAGAGGACAACAAATCGAAGCCCTCAAGGTGCAAAAGCAGGACAAGATTTGAAGTACATTCTAAATTTGGGCATAGTCTTTAAAATGCCATTGAAATATGTTTCAGGAGGCAACTAGAAGGAACTAGCAAGGGAACCAGGCACTTGCCATGACCCACCCACTGCACTTCGGCAGAAGAGGAGGACGTGGAGATGGAACAACGTTCTCAGCAGCTTGGGTGGAAGGGTGCCTGCATGTCTCCCTGGAGGGTGAATACCCTGAAGCTCAGTCCAGGGAAGACCAAGATTCTGCCAGTGGGTGGTTCCTCTGACCTGATGGAGGGTGCTCAGCCTGTTCAGCTCCCCTCCAAGGAGCAGTTTCATAGCTTGGGGGTTCCTCTGGAACCATCTTTGTCATTAACGCCGGTGCTTTACCATCTACCCTGGCTATCAGTTGAAGGCCGGGCCCAATTTAAGGTGTTGGTAATAACCTATAAAGCCCTAAATGGCTTAGACCCAGTTGTCTGAAGGAGCGTCTCCTCCCCTATGTGCCTGCCCGCCCCCTAAGATCTGGGTCGGAGGCCCTTCTTCGGGAGCCCTCTTCGAAGGAGAAGGGCCTTCTCTGTGGTGGTGCCCCGGTTGTGGAACATGCTCTCCAGGGAGGTGCGCCTGGTACCAACACATTATTCTTTTTGACACCAGGCCAAAACCTTTTTATTTTCTCATTAAGACCTAATTCCTATTTTAAAGGGGCTTTTATTATAGATAAGAAGCTGTGACTTTGCCGTTGGACCCTCCTGAGACTTTTCTGTATAGCACGGGATACAAATAGTTTAAATCAATCAATCAAGGTTCAGATGGCCTCAGTGCACAGAGTGCTTTCTGCCAACTTTCTTTGGTACCTGAACTACATGCCTATCTGAACAGAGTCAGCCTGGCTTCACTTGTATATGCTCTGACAACCTCCAAGTTAGGTTGCAGCAATGCTCTCACATGGAATTGCTTGTGAACACAGTTGAGGCTCTGTAGCTTATGCAAAGTTAGTGGCTAGACTGACAAGAGGGACACAAGCGCATAGCAGCAACTCTGGCCTGCCTGCACTAGCTGTGTGTGTGTTTGCAAGCCCAATGCATGGTGCCAGCTCTGCCCTGTGAAGCCTTACAAAGCTCAGGACTGCAATACTTGTGGGAACACTCCTCCTGCCTGGATCTACCCAAATAGCATGGTTCGCATCTAGGGCCCGGGTCTCTGCAAGGGAGTCATGAAGAATGAGCACTAGGGAGAGGATCTTCTTGGTGATGGCCCACCCATTCTGCAGTGACATCCCCAGGGAGGCCTTCCTCGCCCCAGCATTGTCACCTCTTCATTGCCACATTGCTGCTACTTCTTCTCTCACGTTTTGAAGGCATATGACTAGATTTTCATAGAATCATAGAATAGCAGAGTTGGAAGGGGTGCAAGAAAAGCCAGTGGGACTAACAACTTGCTCAGTGCAAGAATCCAAGTTAAACCATCCTTCTCAGAATGTTGTCCAGCTGCATCTTATTTATTTATTAGATTTGTATCCTGCCCCATTAGTCATAAGGCCAATGAATGCCTCTTAATTGTCTCTAGTGTGGAATCAACCTCCCTGGGTCATTGGTTCCACTGTCTTATTGCTCTAACAGTCAGGAATGTCTTCCTGCTGTTCAGCCGGAATCTGGCCTGTTATTCTGTGACCTTCACTCTGGGATGATGGAGAAGAGATCTTGGCCTTCATCGCTTTGACAACTTTTAAGTACCTGTAGAGAGCCTCCCCTTCCCTCCTCAGACATCTCCCCTTTTCAAGGCTCAACATGCCCCACCTCTCCTCAGAGGGCTTTGTTGCCAGTCCCCGGAGCATCCTTGGTGCCCTCCTCTGCCCCCTGTCCAGCTTGTCTGCATCTGTCTTAGACGGTGTTGCCCAGAACTGGACACAGGACTCCAGATGAGACCTAACCAGTGCTGAGTTGAAAGTGGGCGGGGGGGGGGGAGAAGGGCCTTTTTGGTGGGTGCACCCATCTATGGAATATGCTCCCCAGGTACACCTGGTGTCCTCACTCTTATTTTGCCAGTGCCAGGCAGAGATGCTTTTATTTAGCAGACATTTTAAGAACAGCTAGATTTATATCCTGAAGAAATTTTTATGACTGCTTCTATCACTTTTCCTGATCGTGGTAGTTATCTGTTAGCGTGTGTGATATTTTGATTATTATGTTTTATTGTTTGACTTTTATGGTTGGTTCCTTTTTATTGTTGTATATTTGGTTTGAACTGTATATTGTCCAGGGAGCCCTGGAGGCTAGGGGAGCAGCATGTACATGCAATGAGCAAACAAACAGACATCCGTTGCATTAAGAACTGCTGTTCGCTGTTTGCTTTCTTTTTCTCCCCTCCCAGTCAAGCCACATCCACCTTTCAATCTGACCACGTCTGCATCCCCTGCTGGCTACAACATCTCCTGGAAGACCCACTACCAGCATTTTCCGTACAACTACCTGAATGGCCAGCTGCAGTACCAGCTGCGCTACAGGGACCGGGGCCGTCCGAGGCAGGTAAGCTGGGGCCTTGCAGAAGCCTGGCTTGGCGGGAGAGGGGCTCCGCATGCCCGGGGGTACTCTGCCGCAGACCAAAGCCCAGAAACAGGGTTTGCTGCAGGGTAAGGGCAGCGAGAGGGGCCTCATTAGGCATCTTCCTCTGGCTTCAGAGTCTAAGCCAGTTGGGTCCGTGGCTGCCATAAAGGCATAGTGTGATACCTGAGAAGACCATGACCCCAGTTGCTGAGCTACAACCCCAAGATACTTAAAAGAAGGGACTTGTTTTGAAGTATTCCCATTTTCCAGTTATAGACTTGCCCAGAGTTACCAAATACCACTATGTTAGTTTTGTTATAATTAATAGTGAGTTGCTGATTTTGGCAGTATGGACTAAATTGCCTTAGCAGTCTATGCAATCCTTACTGGGTACAGAAAATAAGAATGGGATTATCTGCATAAAGGAGAAATCTTATTCTGTCCAACTTTAACTGGAAAATAACAGTCACCCCTTACAAACACTAGCACATCATTAAAAAGAAAGAGAGAGAGAGATAAAAGAAAAGGAACAAGTCTGGCATTGTTGACAAAGTCCTTTTGTGACTGGCACTGAATTGGAGAATTGACCTTCTTGACCAACTCTGATTATAAGACAGGTCTCCAAACACAGTCCCGTAATACAGTTTAAAAGATGTGAATCAGTCCCCAAAGATTGTAACTTAATCCAAGTTTTTGTAACTTAATCCAAGTGATTCTGAGGGATGGAATCAAAGGCAGCATTTAAAATTACAAAAGCTTAGTAGCTCCTGACAGATATTATCTATAATATGCTCAAGTAGGAAGCAGCATGCAAATCTTGAACACCTTACATCAAATCCAACTGGCTCTGGAGCAAACCAAGTTTTTCCTGAACCCAGCCCTCCAATTTCTCCAAAAGATAGACACAGAGAAACAGAGCGAGTCAGAAGAAGCCTCCCGGGCCATCTAGTCTGACCTCTTGCTCCAACCGGCTCCACTCATGACCTGCCTACCATGTGCATGTCCAGCCTATCTTTGAACACCCTCACCAAAGGGGCTTCTACCACCTCCCATGGAAGCCCATTCCACACCCTTGGGGTCCCGACTGTCAGGAAGTGCTTCCTGGCATCCAAATGGAACCTGGGTTCCCTGAGCTTTGCTCCGTTGGAGCAGGTACTGCCCTCCTCTGCAGGGGAGAACAGGTCTCTCCCCACCTCCGTGTGACACCCCCCTCCCATACCTGCATGTCGCCAACATACCCCCTCCGAGTCTCCTCTTCTCCAGGCTGAAGAGGCCCAGTTCCCTCAGTCTCGCCTCATACCCCATCCCCTGCAAACCGGCCACCAACCTTGTGGCCCTGCGCTGCACTGACTCCAACCTGGCTATATCCTTCCTGTAATGAGGGGTCCAAAACTGAGCACAATACTCCAGTTGCGGTTGCACCAGAGTCGTGTAGAGTGGTAGTAATGCCTGACATAAATTTTAAACACCCTGTCAGGTAGGCAGAATGGTCTATAACTGGCTGGATCATCCCTAGGACCCTTTTTATAGATGCCCACTTGCTGGAGGGGTACCAGATTGCTCAATAAGGGGGAACAGGGATGCAAGGAAGGGGAGGCCGTTCTCACCAGGAGACCTTCCGTTCTGCAGCACTGGCTGTGTGCCTCCACCTTTACCCGTTTGCATGCTGAGCAGCTTGGGCAGGAGGAGGCCTTGCACCTGTCCTGCCTGAGGGAACCTCTGGGCTTGCACCATGTGCGCACAGTTCTGGGCTGGAAGGACCTTGGGTCTGATGCAGCTGGGCTTTTCTTATGCTCTTTCGACCTGGGATAATGCTTTGGCCTCAGCTGTTGCAACAAGCCCAGTGATGAGCCCATTTGATGTCAGAAGCAACACTTGAGCTCCTTCCTTGACTACTCCAATCATTAAATAGCTCCTTAAAATGACTTTCCCATTTCAGCATGACGAGCAGAGTCCCCCAGGGCTCACTTTTGGGACTGATTCTGTTCAACATTTTCATCAGTGACCTGGAGGAGGGGATAGCCAGATCGCTGACTAAATTTGCAGACAATACCAAAGTTGGGGCAGTGGCCACAGCTGAGGAGCAGGTGATTCAGATCCAGGGGGATCTGGATAGGCTGTGGAAGTGGGCGGGGGACAACAGGGTGGCATTCAGTGTGGGTAAGTGCAAGGTCTTGTGCTTAGGACACAGGAAGAGGTGTCACAGGTACGGGAAGGGGGAGCAAGTGGCTGGAGAGTAGCACTTGTGAAAGGGACCTCGGGGTGCCGGTTGATAGCAGGCTGAACAGGAGCCAGCAGTGTGAGGCAGTAGTCAAGAGGGCGAACGCCACCCTTGGATGCAATGCCAGAAGCATGGCTTCCAGATCTAGGGAGGTGTTGCTGCTGTTCTACACAACTCTGGTGTGCCCTCAATTGGAGTACTGCATCCAGTTCTGAGCTCTGCATTATAGGAAAGACGTAGTGAGGTTAGAATCGGTCCAGTGCAGGGTCACAAGAATGGTAACCGTGTTGGGAGGGGTGGCATATGAGGAGAGATTGAGGGAACTGGGTCTTTTCAGCCTAGAGAAGAGGAGACTCTGAGGGGATCTTTTAGCAACTTGCAGGTATGCAAGGGGATGTCATGCGGAGGAGGGTCACATCCTTCCCTACAGTGAATGGCAGGACTTGTTCCAGTGGGGCAAAGTGCAAGGAAGCAGGCTCCTGGTTGGATACCAGGAAGTACTTCCTGAGAGTTAGGACTCCTGGGATATGGAATGGGCTTCCAAGGGAGGTGGTGGAGGCCCCATCATGAAAAGATTGGACAACTACAAGTCGGGGATTGCATGAGCAGAGCCGGCTGGAGCCGGGGGTCAGACTAGATGGCCCGGGAGATCCCTTCTGACTCACTATGTTTCTATGCTTCCATGTCCATCTGAGTGGCCTCTGTGAGGCTCGGACTACCTTACTTTGCCAGCATCTAGCAGCTCCCTCTTGGCAAGGCTCTGAGGTGTCCCCAAAGTCTCAGCGTCTGCCTCATTATATCCCCACCAGTTCTCAAAAACCATGGACATTAGGAAAGTTATCAATGAACATTAGGTGAATGGAAACCCCCCTGGAGCACAGGTGAATCCAAATCAGGGCCATAAACCTGAAGCGATTACTTGTGCTTACATACTTGTACCACAAAAAGAAAGTGTCTTGCAGGATCAGTTCTTGCTTGTAACCAGTTATTGGTGCTTTCTTACATGGAGGGCCACCCCTTCAGCGCCTGAGGATTCCCATTCGCAGAAGCTTCTCCAAGCCAATCTTTGTAAAATCTGACTTTGTCTTCAGTCAAGAGCTGAGCTTCTTGTAACATCCTTTTTGAGCTTCTTACATTTGGAAAGCACTTATCTTTGTTTCTTTGGGGTAGCCAAGCCCCTAATATTGCAAGGCACTGTAATTCTATAACATTACAGTAACTGACATAAAATCACATTTTTCAGGAGGTATCCCCAAAAGCCTCATTCAAACCATTCAACCATTCCGGATTAAACTAACCATCTGCATTTTAATGTGTTCTCCAGACTTTGCTGGCAAACTTATTTAACCCTCTTGGCACCTGTTTAGCAGGCAGGTGTCCCTCCACTGGCAGGGAGGGGCTTGCTTGTAACAGGATGGTAAGCAGCTTGTATGACCAGGGCACTGTGCAGTGTGGTGGTGGTCTTCAGAGGGGCAGTTCCGCTTAGCGCAAGAGGCTGGGAGTGCTGATGGGGTTTGCTTGAGATCCATCAGGGCTTAGGAAGCCAAGGCTGCAGCGGCAGTGTGTTGGCCCACATGGGAACCTGTGCCCGGCGCTCAGTGCCACCTTTCTGGGGGATGCCTGCCAGGCCACATTTGCAGTGGTGGGGGGATGCTTGGCTCATGCCCCCCACCAGCCCCATTCTTCTGGGGGTGCCTCCTTTGGCTTCTGGGCCCGGCCTCTCACCTCCCCTGTTGTGCCAGTCTCCAGGCACCTGCAGATGGGCTGGGAGGGAGGACCCCTTGTGCTTGGCTCCAAAGTGCATGCCCCCTGCTGGTGATAGAGGGCAGGGCTGGAACCTGGAGGCAGTCGAAGGGTTCCCTGGGGGACGCTGCCAGAGCCTGGGCTGAACCGGGGTTCCAGGCCCTATCCCTGGCTCCCGAGCAGAATGCCGTCTTCCAGGCCGCGCCACCAGCTCCTGGATGGTCCCTTCCCCCTCCCTGGATGTGCTGTGGACAACCAGCATACACTGCGTCTGGCCAAAATGGCTTGGAGTGGAGAGGAGGAGAGGGCACCCCAGGCACCCTCTCCCTCCCATGGCCTTTCCTCCTGCCAGGAATGGAGCCAGAAGCACATTCTGCAGGACACACGGACCCTGCGCCTGCTGCGCCAGGAGCTGGCAGGGAGCACGGAGTATGAGTTCCAGGTGCGAGCCAAGCCAGGACAGAGCTCCCCCTACTCGGGGGCCTGGAGTGAATGGAGCCCGCCAGCCACCATGGAGACCTTGCCGAGAGGTCAGTCCCTCCCCACCCTCGGCCTCTTCCAGCCCAGGTCTGTGCCCCATGCCGGACTGTCCCAGGGCCGTGGTGCAGTGCCGTGCGAGCCCAAGCCCCCATCTGCCGGCCTCGTGCACCTGGTGACCTCCCGGCACTGAGAAGGGGAAGCTGCACAAACGCTGTGACGGGCCTCAGCCTGCAGGGCAACTGGAGCCGCAGCTGGGCACCCTCGGGGGAGCTGGAGCTGGTGCTGACCCTGACCAGCAGCCCTGCCTTGGCTTCCAAGCATGGAAGGCCAGGGGGAGCCCCGGGCTGGCACTGTCCTCCTTGCTGCACCAGAGCTGGCCTTTCCTGGGGGCGGCCTGCTGAGCATTGGCTGGCCTGCCCATTCCCTGAGCGGGGGCTGGGATCGGTGGAGCACCACAGGCAGAGCCACCATCAGCTTCTTGGACAGGGTCTGCATCTGTGCCCCACGGGCAGCAGCCAACCATAGCCCAGTGGCTCAGCCATCCACAGTGTGGGGCCCTCTGGGCGCCCCAGGGCAGCCTGGCTGCTCCTGGCCCAAGAGGAGCCCCCCTTGGCTCTGTCCAGCCACTGCCCAACCCATGTGGCCTCCAGCCTGGGACAGCAGGACTGTCCATGGACTGGCTGTCTCGCTTTGCTCCCGCAGCCCCAGAGAGTGGAGGAACCGGGTGGCTGCTGTTGCTGCTGCTGCCACTCAGCCTGGCCGCAGCCCTCCTCTCCTTCCTGAGCTGGCCCCGGAGGTGAGTGCATGTCCGGGGAGGGGCGGGCACGGCAGCGGACGGGGTGGCCAGCCTGGCATGCCCAGGGGCCCCCGGACTCTCTTGCCTGACCGCAGGGGCGGGGGCAGGAAGGCAGAGGAACACCTTCCCACAGTGCCGGGCCAGTGCAGCCTCCACATGCCTGCTTGGCCTTCCCACCAGGCGCTCACTGGTCCTTTCTGGTGCTCATCGAGGAAGCACCAGCATGCCAAGGGGTGGCTGGTCTGAGGCTCCTCCTAGGAGGGATGCAGTGAGGGGTCTCAGGCTAGTGGGCTGCTCTTCCTCTTGCAGGCTGTGGAAGAAGCTGGTCCTCATCCCTAGCCCGGCACCCTTCTTCCAGCCGCTCTATCTGGGCCACAATGGAGACTTCAAGGTACAGGCTGGGGGGCAGAACTGGCCGGAAGAGGGGGAGCCATGGGGGCGCTTGCAGGACAGGTCTGCACAGCAGTGCTGCTTGAGCATTCGGTGCAAGAAGGATGCCTGGCGCTGCTCCAGCACTGCATGGAGACTGGCACCAGCCCCCAGCCCCTCCCGGTGCAGCCAGGGCACCCACCGCTGCCACTTGTTCACCGTGGGCAGAGCAGCCTGTCTGCTGAAGGAGAACGTGCGACAAGGCCCGAGCCTCCCAGCCGGGCTCTCCCCAGTTTTCCTGTGCTGCAGCCCCATCACTCCCTGGCAGCAGCGCTGCTCTGCCTACAGAGGAAGGGGCTTGGCCGGACAAGGGCAGCTGCTTGCACTTTTTCTCTGGAAAGTGGCAGCCTGGAACCAGTCCTGTTTTCAGGGTGCCCAGAGAGGAGGAAGAGCTCAGAGCCGCTGGCCTGCTCGCCCCTTGCCCTGCCTCCCCTCTCCTGCAGCTCTGGCTGCTTGGCCTCCTTTCTTTCCCAGCAGAGCCGGTTGTGTGAAGGCCCCTTTCCTGGAACAGGATGGGTGCAACCAGGTCCAAAGAGGCAGGAATCACAGGGAGGCAGGAAGGGGCCTTGGAGCCTGACAAGGCTGAGGGCTCTGCCGGAGGCCTCAGAGCACTGAATTGGATTTCGGGGGGTGAGGATGAAAGGTTTGAAGGGTGAAGGTTTGAGGCAACCCATCCTGATGCTGGAGAAGTTGGGCCTTGAGGGAGAGGAGGAACTCCTAATCACAAGTTTCACAAGTTTTCTTTGAACACGCCCCTCCTCCCCCGCATGTGTCTCATCAAAATGGTGAAATTTCACTATTTAAAAAGGGAAATCCTGCAAAGGGTCCAGGATGACACATTTAGAGGTGTCATGGAAGGGTTTTTGCTTCAGATGGACAAATTCCAGGAAATGTCTGCAGCTGGCAAAGTGCTCCTTTAAGTTTGTCAAAATCTAGGCTGCAGTAAATGTTTCAAGTTCCTTAAAGGGCCATATGAACTGTATGGGACTGGCGGGGCTGCTTTTCTGGAGTCCACCCTCTGAGAAGCCGTGGATCCTCCCATTCCCCTGCAGGTGACCCAGCCAAGCACCTGCCCCTTCACCCTTCACAGCAGTCGCACTGACCCCTCTTCTTCTCTGTGCAGAGATGGGCCGGCACTTCCCACTCCGGAGTGCTGCTGGACGTCTTTGAGCAGAGTGCTGCCTTGCCAGAGGTGTTTGGGGTGGGCCAGAAACACTTTCCACCAAGCCCTGCCAAAGGGGACTGGAGGAACAGCTTGGCCTGCCCCCCTGGCACCCCTGCCCCGCACCTTCAGGCCACTGTGGAGGACTCGTCGGAGCAGGCCTATGGACACCTCTCCATTGACACGGTCACCGTGGCTGGGGAGTTTGTGGCCTGCTGCCCACATTGTGACCGGGGAAGCCCATGCCGGGTTCCGGAGCAGCTGCAGCAGGAGGAGGCGGAGGCAGGTGAGAGGGGCTGGCTGCTGCAGCACGCATTCTGCTGGCAGAGTCGCGGCTTGGGCAGCCGGGAGCTGCTTGGCGAGCCTGAGATGCCACAGAGTGGCTCCCTTCCCCGGGCTTGGAGTCCAGAGCGAGTAACACTGCCCCGCTTTCTGTCCCAGCAGGCAACTCCCTGGAAGGAGGGTCTGTGTGCGGCAGAGGGTTCTTTGACTTGCCTCCCGAGCCCGGCTGGGCCTTGGGAAGCCCAGGCAGCCTCTCGTCCACCGAGGAGGAGGCGCGTTTCTACAGCAGGCTGCTCTCCTCTCACCTCGATGCTAATGGCGAGCCCCCAAACGGCCTGGACCTCGACACCATTGACAGCGGATTTGCCGACTGTGACTGCGAGAGCTCTGTGGACTGTGAGTCGGAAAGGAGGCCCTCAGGTTGTGGCGCCGGCCCAGCCCCCGGAGAAGGAAAGGACGAACAGGAGGCCTTCCTGCCAAGCTACGTCAAGCAATGGGTCTCTTGCCACAACAGGACTCAGTCAACGTAGCCAGCAGAGGTCCCCACTGAACGCTGAACTTCTTCCCTAGCCGTTTTCCTTTCTGCTTGGAAGTCCCTTTGTTATGGAGCTCTTCAATGGAATCCTCTGAGAAGGCTGGAGCATCTGCCCCAGCAGGACTCGGCTGTGGGGCAGAGGCAGGAATGGCTTCTTGACCCTGGGCAGCGAGACACACACACACACAGTTGTACCTTTGGTCACAGAGGAGGAGAGGGTCATTTTCTCCGAATCTGGCATCAGAAGGACTCTGCCGGAGCAAAGCAATACTCAACACAGCTGCACAAGCCTTCTGGACCTCTCGCATTCTTCCTCCTCCTCATCCTTTTTGCTTCCTTTTAGGTACCATCTCCATTTCCGTTGGAAGCCTCTGATAGAACCTGCATGCTCTTCCAGGTTTCCCATTGTGCTTTTTTTGTTTGGGGTGCTTAATAAAAGAGATACACATTCCAAACGAATTGTGAGTCTGTGTCTGGAGGGAGGGGGGGTCTGGAAAGGGGATGAGGGCACCATCACGTGTGTTTGACCCATGGAATCTGTGCCTCGCGGGGGTGGGGGTGGGGGGGAACAGTGCTTCCATCAATGCTTTGATCGCTCCAGCTCTTTCCAGGACCCTTCCAGGCACTCCTCGCTCCCTGCCCTGATCCTCTCTCCCATCTGCAGGGAAGGCCCCGACTCTGCCATGCTCTGCCCTCGAGGGAACAGTGGGCCAACTGGGAAGAATCTTTGCAGCTCCGGGCCACCAGCTCTGCTGGCATCTCCCCCATGCAAACTCTTTGACTCATCTGTGTGGGCCCCTCCAGATCAGTTAGGCAATCTTCGAGGCAATTTCTGTAGCCTGCCAAATCTGTTACTAACATCCGGCAGATTAATATATGTGAGTTGAGTGTTATCACAAGAGAGCTGCTTCTGCTTCGGGATGAAAGAATGCTTTCTAGTGAGCCAAAGGACTGAATATTGTAGAGATTCAGAAGAGATCAGAAGATCAGCATGGTAAGAAAATTCCTCCCTCCCACCAAGAGGGGACTCCTTTGGAGGTCTCTGGGCCCTGAGGAGCCAGGGCCACTGCTTCCCTGCACCCAGCCAGGCCACTCCAAGGCCCAAAGGCAGGCTTCTCCAGGGGGATTTCCGAGAAGCCAGATCGACAGAGACCCTGCCAAGAGGCTGTCGGGCTCTCACACGCCTGGCTTCAGGGCAGCAGTCCAGTTCTGGGGCACGGATGTGATTCTAGCACACCCAAAAGAGCTGCTGAAGAAACTCGGCATGGCCAGGGCAAGCCAAACAAGCACGGTGGAAGGCAGCAGCCTCTGCTTCTTGCACGGCTGGGGGAGGGTGCGGTCTCATTCAGACTTTTCCAGTGAGCTCCGAGGGCACCTTCAAGGTCGATGGCCCTTCGCACATTGCCCCCACTTTAAACAAAATCTCTCACTGGAAAAAATTCTCTGCAGAGGACAAGTCTGAGGATCTGCAGGTAGGTAGTGCCAGGAGCCCCCCCCCCCCCGCCAGCCTGGGTGCTCCCTGGGGGCCTGTCCCTTGTGGCAGAAACCTCCCCCTTCCCCTTGGCCTTGTCACCCTGTCGTGGCAGGTGAGTTTGGAGGGATGTTGAGGAATGCTCCCCTTCATATCCTGCAGTGACAACCGATTAGTGGACATGGCTCATAGTGTGTCCTGCCACGCCACCGCTGCTGCCCCGCGGGGGCTGATTTATCCCCAAGCTTCTGGTTTTAGCTTTTGCTTTCCCCCGAAACAACTTTGTCAGCAGCTGCAGTTGCTGCGGGCCACCAGTCTGGGCTAACGGTATTCCAGGCTTCCTGGCTGGCACAGCCTCACCACTGCGGCCCCTGCTTTGCCGCACGTTTCCCTCCTCTTCTCCTGCACTTTGCTGGCTCTGCTCTTGCAGGGATGCTGATGGGTTTGCAGGGAGAAACAGTTGTGCCGTTGGGAACAAGCCCAGGGCACCCCAATGACCCTGCTTTCATCCTCCTTCCATCTGCAAAACAGCTCTTCCCAGGGTGAGCTCTGCTGTGCGGCCAGGGCCCGCTGTCTCCATTTTCTACTGTCAGATTGTAGCTGAGCTTGACTCTGGTTGCAGCAGGATGACCCTGGAAAGGGTTGGTATGTTAGAAGGACAAGCTTCCATGTAGCCCAAAGTACCTGATCCTGCCTGATCATGAAAGCTAAACAGGCCTGGGCTGGGCTGAAATCTGGCTGGGTGACTTGAGTCCTGCATTGAGCAGGGAGTTGGTCCTGATGGGCTGCCAGGCTCCTTCAGTATTCTAAAAAGAGAGGTGAGTGGATGAATGGCTGCGCTGACTTGATTTTTGTATCCAGAATTTCAGGGGAAATTTCAATCCCTCCCTACCATTTGGTAAGGTGAGGAGAAGGAATAGCTCATTCCCTTTTAAGTTCTTGTACTACAGAAAAGGAGACTTGGTAGATGGTGGAAAAAAGAAGGAAAGGAAAACTGGGGTGGGGGCTCCCAAGGGGGAATCACCTGGGAAAACGTTCCTCAGACCCTGCAGAGAACCAGGCGGGATGTCTGTGGTGGGCCAATCGAGACTTCTTCCACTGCGCACTTTTGGAGCTGCACGGCTTAAATAGCACATGGGGAGAGGGAGGACCCAGCCTGGAGTGGCCGCTTGGTCTCTGCTTCCTCCCTCTCCCACACCTGTAACTTCCTCCTCCCTATTCCACATGTGTTATTTGATGGAATTTGGGGGCAGGAGATCCTTGGGTTTTTAAGACTAGTTTTCACAGTGCTGCTGCAGGGCTGTGTAGCTGAGCATAGCAATGGAGTTCTTTCCAGAAGCTGCACTCCTCTGTAGCTGTGGAGGTGCACACAGCCACTGGATGTGTAAACCAGACCCAAAGCCCAGCATGCACCAGCCATGTTTTGAAAAAATACCAGGACAATGATGCTTCACACACTAGAGGAGCCCCGGGGATCCTGCTTACTCCCCATAGTATAGAGTGGATTTCCAGTCACGTTGATGGCTGGCTCATGTGTCAGCATGAAGCAGGGATGGGCTTCTGGTGCAACTCCAGGTGTTTGGGCCTAAAACTTCAGTCAGAACTAGCAAAAACATCTGAAGGAACACAAGCTACTCACCCCTGGCATAAAGGGAGGGGAATTTTCTTGTCTTGCTGACTGTACCAGGCTGATGACCAAAAGCAGGTTCTTCCGTTCTTCAAGTGAGCCCATATATTGAAACACTGGAGCTTGGAGATTTTAAAGAGTGGTTTCCCTCTGCCTTGAAAGTGACTTTTCTTTGGAGCAACTCAGGCGGATGTTCCTTTCCTTGGTCCTTTGCCTGAGAGACGGCTAGAGCACTTGTCTTTATGAAAGAAGATTGCAAAGGACTCTTTCTCTGGAACCAAGTGACCTGAGGGGTCCCCCATGGAGGTTACTAGATCAAGCAGAAGGGAATTAGCAGCTTGGCATGCCAGGGGCTCAACAGAGCCCTGGACACGTCGCCCAGGGGAGACTGGGATGGCAACAGCAGCGGCGCTTCTGTCTCACCACCTTTGTGTTGCAGGCTCCAGTGGGAAGGGGCTACTGGGCAGCCTGCCTGCTGCAGATTCTCTTCTCCCCTCTCTTCGTGGCTGATGAAGGGCAGATAACAGGTACGAGGGTGCGGCAAGAGCAGCGTAAGCTCTGCCTTGCACAGAAACAGGAGGGGTGTGATTCCCAGTCCAATTCTTTGCAGCAGAGAGGGGCACAGAGGGGCTTGCTGCCACTGCTTCATGGAAGAAGAGCGAACTGTATCTCCAAAATGAGTTGAGTGGAATAGATATTTCAGGCAGTCTGAAAATCACTCCTTTCTTTGTGTTGGGCATCCAATGCTTTTCCCTTTTACTCACTGCATCCAGAATTGTGGCTAAGAAGGAAGGCCAAGGTTTCTTCTCACTGACAACAGAGCGAAGGACAAGGAGTGATCAATTCAAGCTACAACAACCCAGATTCAGGCTAGAGATCAGGAAGTTTCCTCACTGTCAGAGCCGTATGACAGTGGAGTCAGTTGCCTGGAGAGGTGGTGGGATTCCCCACACTAGAGACATTCAGAAAGAAACCGGACAGCCCTCTGAGTGGGGTGGTGCGACTTGGTGTCCTGCAGCAGCAGCAGGGGTTGGGCCCAGTGGCCTTCGTGGTCCCTTCCAGCTCGACTCTTCCATGAATCTTTGATCCCTCTCTTGCCATCCTGCACCCCCTCAAGCAGGCTGCAGGAGGAAGGGTGCACAAGGCACACGTGACAGAAGACCCTAACCCTGGACCCCTCCCTTCTCCTTTCTTCTAGCGGGGGCCTTCAAGAACATGCAATGCCTGAACAATTACGGCTCTCAGGGCCGCAGAGTGAATTGCAAATGGCACTGTGATGAACTCCTGGGAGAAGCCCAGTTCTACCTCAATTTCTCTGAGTAAGGCCAGTGTGTGACCAGGGAGTGGGGGTAGAACCAAGCCACTGAGTGGCCTCAGGCTTGACTGGAGCAGCCCAGCAGCTGAGACCCTCTCGGCATTTTTGTGTCCTGGGCAGTGGCCCATGGACGGGAGAAAGTGATGCTGGGTAGGATCCCGGGGGCCAGAAGGGGGCCCACCAGTTCTCTGCCATCAGGCTGCACTGCAGTGGCATCTTGAGTCCTACATAGCATGCCTGAAGAGGAGAGTGGCCAGGAAGCCAAAGGCCGCCTTCCAGCCACACACGGTGTACAGCAGAAACACAGATCCAGACTCCTGCCACACGAGGCATTTCTTGTGCCCTTGCAGTCCCTCATTCAAGGCAGGGCCGTTTCACAAAGTCCTCCTCCTCCAGGCCTGTCAAGTGTTTTCCAGTCCTCTCCCCACCCCACCCTGGCCCAGCTGTGTGTGTGTGTGTGTGTGTTCAGAGTGGATAAAGTCAGTGGTTTTCCTGGTTATGTTCATGATTTGCTACAGAAGCCTAGTACAGTGGTACCTCAGCTCACAAATGCCTCAGTTCACGACCAAATGGGTTGCGAAC